ACATGCCTGGAAGAAACTGGCCCCCGAACTGAAATTTATTAGCTAATGCGGCCCTCGGACTGAAAAGTTTGGAGATCCCTGCACTAGATCAACGAATTGAACATGACGAAGACTTGAATGAATTCCCAACATGGCCAGTTCAGATGATGAATGTAACATCCTCTACCGGGGAACAGTTAGTTCAAGATTTCATCCGTACATTGACTGACGATAACTGTGAGTTGTTTTTTCATGGCACATCATCTGTAGCTTCTGTATCTGTTGTTGCGTATGGTATAAGTATGACCCATGGAAGTATAGTGCAGGATTTCTCTTGTGGTAATGGCTTCTACTTGTGTAAAGATTTAGAGAATGCTAAAAAATGGGCTCAAGCAGGCAGGGGTGGCCACCATGCTGTTATTGTTTTTAAAGTGAAGAAAGGCACGCTAGATGCAGATACCGAGGGTGGTCTTAATTTATACACTGACTTAAATAAGTGGCGAAAAATTGTTAGCCTGTGCCGCAGTTTTTATAGAAACAAGAGGCTTAAGAAAGAACTTTTGCAAGGTGTAAAGTTTGTACATGGGCCAACTTGTTTAAACCCATCTAGGTTTGATGATGTCACTGGTCTGATTAACGATGACAAAAATAGCCAGTGGTGCATCAGAGCTGAGGATTTAGCAGAAAGATTTAGTGCAATTAAAAACATCTGCTGTGTTTTGTTTTACTGAACACAGAATAATTTAGTTGGTTTGCTGGATGTAACAATTTCATGAAATGGTTCTGGAGATGCTGCTTGGAAATAAAAGTCACATGTTTTTTTTATGTGTATGAATGTTTTTTTTATAAACGCCAATGTTTGTTATATGGGAAAGCGCCAACATTTTTTAAAAAGAGTATTACCTGGCTAATGGTTTTCAACAAAATTTGGTTACCATACTACTTGCATCCAGGATTTTCTTCTTCCTTCTTAATTGTAATATTGGATCATGTTTTTTCCAATACAATTAAGTAATTTATAGCAACATGTTATACACCATATGACCTGTTGAATATGATAGCCTGCTCTTCTTTCTGGATTTGCTTCCATAGACTTTCTCCATCCACGAACAATCTATTTATTGTCAAATAAAAAGCAAGTTACAATTAAGAGTTGAGGAAAGATAGGATAAGTAGCTAAAAACAAGCCATCATTTAAATATATACATTTTAGGATTACTTTGATTATGGTGACAAGTATTGTATAATATTTACCATAAGATATGAAAAAGTACCTGCATAATTAAAATTCCTTTGCTTTTTCAGTTTCCAAACATCTACGTATGTTCCTTGTCATCAATGACGATGGAGCACAATTAAGCTACCATATTTAATAACGTATCAGACATGTGTTGAAATATTATCTAGCCACTAGTGATACAGTGATTGTCTTCAGTGACGGGTATTAAAAATCTTAGCTTTAGACTTCTATGGCAAATTTTGCACAAGTCAAATAACAAAGGGTAAACAACACTCAATCAGTCAGTTAGTCAAGATAAATACACTCAATCATTCACTGTATATTGGCACATAGGTGGATTTATGGGGTGGAAAAATAATTCTAAAATAATGGCCTATCGCTGAGAGTCAACACATTTTTTACTTATTTGTATTTTTTATGAGTAGTTCTAAGCTCAATAGTTCTTCATGTATATCACTATGGGTGGATCTATACTGGATCACTGAGGCTTAGTTTGACAAGTGTTTGTTTTTAACAAACAATTGTAAATTAAGTTGAAATAATAAGTCTTAAGGTCTTTATTTCCCTATTGATCTAGAATAAATTCTTAAAACTAACACAGCAGATGGGTAATTTAAAGCACAGGAACAAATAATCTGATGTTCACACAACTTAATTGGATAGTATTAATTAGTCTCAAATTCAGTTTGAGTCCTTAAAATCCTCTAATTAGCACCTGATTCAAGTTAGATAAAAGTGAAGGCTGCTGAGTGTAGAACTCACTACACAGTAATCCCTATTTTTGTTAAAAGCACCATCATTTCTATTACAGTGGCTAATTTCAACAAAATTAACTGTTGGTTAATTATCACAGTAATAGTTTTCCAACCATTTCACAGTTAGTGTTACCACTGCAGTTAATCTATTTCCAGGAATTATTTTATATCCTCTACAACAGGGGTCTCCAAACTACGGCCCGCGACATCCTCTCATCCGGCCCGCAGAGATCTTTTTGTCCACAGAAAAAACGTTTGTTGGTGATTGCTGAGGAACTTTGCCCAGAAAAATCTAAGACATGCCTCAAAGAAACTGGCCCCTGAACTGAAATTTGATCGTTAATGCAGCCCTTGGACTGAAAAGTTTGGAGAACCCTGCTCTACAATACTGAAATTTGATTTTTTTTTTTTTATTCTTCCTCCATGGGAATGCACGAACATCAATTTACAAAATGTAGACGAGTATTGAAACATTTTATTTGTGAATATAAAAACATGCTGATAGAGATAATTTGCAAGGAAAACAATCATAAATTGAAAATTATAACAGGTTGTACAATGGCTTTTGCTTATAAAAGGAAGACGAGTAAATAAATAAAACTAACAGAATGTTTGTATGTAGTTAACTAAACTATAAAAGTGGTATCTTGAAATGTACAGCAAAGTTATAATTAAGGGGTAGGTATTACTCGCAGTATATTTACATTTAGTTCAGTTAATGGAATGGTAAACATAAATACTCAAATACTTTGGTGGAATGTTAAACAAAAAATACCTGGGGGGGGGGGGGGGGGAAGGGGGATAAATGTTAGACAGAATCTAAAACACCTGGGTGATATTTTTTCTTCTGAGATCAAGAAGTAAGTAGAGAAGATGGGACCAGGTAATGACCCCACAATAGAGTAGCACGTTACTTTTTATTTCTTAACTCAAAGTAATTTATCTTTATACATTGACATTTCTAAGACAAAGGCCTAACACTTGTGACATGTATACCATTAAATACCATACATGTCGAGAAAAAAAACTCGCCATGTTCCGTGGAAAAAACATGATATAACATTAACTTTTTGCGAGTTTTTTTTTCCTTATACTTATATAGTATACATGTTGCAAATGTATAAATAGGCATTAATTTTATTTATAATGGTGAAACAGCATATGCAACTATAGACCTAAGTAAAACTACAACAGACTTGTTAGTGAATTATTAGAATTACGAAATACAACTAGCAGTAGGATAAATTTATGCCCTAACTTTGCTATTGTACTAATGTGACTTAAAACACTGGAACTAGTTATCACACAGTTGTGCCGTTGAAATACTGTCTAGAGCAAGAACATATTTACAGCAGTGCAAGATGACTGGCACAGATAAAAGATTTGACCCCAAACATCAATGAGAGGATGTTTAAAAAGCTCTAGGGGTCATCCATAAACAACATCATGCTCCTAGGAAGGGGGGGGGGGGAAGGGGGGGGGGGTCACAAAGTGTGACTTTTAAAATTATATTTAGTCATTATTTTGCATTTTGAAATTGTTAACAGAACTTTGTAAATATTTTAGGAAAATTTTTGTTTAAAAAAAGCTGCAATTTTGAAGGGGGGGGGGGGGGGGGGTGGATAGGCTGAGAAGCATTTAGTCATTATTTTGCATTTTGAAATTGTTAACAGAACTTTGTAAATATTTTAGGAAAATTTTTGTTTAAAAAAAGCTGCAATTTTGAAGGGGGGGGGGGGGGTAGGCTGAGAAGCTATGTCATTTTAGGGGATCTGGTATTTTGTGGCAATGAGGAGTGGGGGGGGGGGGGTAAAAATGTTTTTTAAAAAAAGCATGATGTTGCTGATGAATGACACTTTTTACTATATTTTTAATGTCAGATTACATTTGTACATTTCAGAAAGAAAAATCAAATTAATTAATCAGAGACTACTGAAATCAAAAAGTGGATTTATAAATGTTAGATACTGTTCTTTATTAAGTTATAAAAAGCACATAAGCTAGCTCTGATAATTGGGCTACTAAATATTTTACAAGACAGTGTGTATTTTATTTATATACATGTTAGCTTTAATACCAAGAAATTGGCACACCTTGTATTCTACTTTCGGAAAACATTTTGCATTCAAATCAAATATATTTATACAAATATACAAAGATCAATAAGTATATCATCAATTGGATCATTCTAAAAATATGGCCTTTAGATAATAAATAAAACCTGAATATAAATGTAAGTACACTGGGGACAACAATGGGTAAAATAGTGATAAAATATATTTGTTTTCAAGTAATAAAATAGTTTTAGCAGTAAAAAAATATTACTGCAGCAAAGGTGCAGAAGTAGATTGTATTTATATTTATTTTACAAAAATAAAATGGATAAGATCCATAAAAATGGATGCTGGATTTTTTTGTAAACTAAAAGCACATAGATCACACAAATTTGGTCTAGAGCCTGAACTATATTTAGCATAGCAGCTTTTTTAAAAACTTCATGATTCTCCAAAGACAAGATTTGTTTATCCATAAAGAAAACCAGCACCCTACCAGCAGTAAACAGGAACAGCTTGAACAAAGTGTATAGAGTATCACATCTTTTACAGCTCACACTTCTTACATGCCACAAAGGGTTTTTGAAACAACAGATCCAGATTTAAAAACAGGTGTAAAGTTTGGTTAAAAATTACTTATACAATACAATAATTTTAAAGCACAACCACTTCACGAGGAAATTAAACATGCAAACAATTATATTTTTTTAATAGTTCAGTCATTGTTTTTTTTTATCAAAAAATTATTGTTATGTTTCTGGGTCACATTGTATTTCATTGGTAATTTGAAAATAATACAGATCAAGTAAACAAATACATCACTTTGGCATAACTTTTTTTTTAAATGTAGTCTAACTTTACAGTGAACATTCAAATTAATTTGGCATAAAAGTCAACACAAATGTAAAGCTAGGTAAAAAAAAAAAAAAGAAACATATATTTTAAAGTTGAAAAAATCTTATAAAAGCTTAGCAAAAGGGGAAAATTATTTAACATTAATTAAATTTTAATTTACAAAATGTGACAGTTAATTAATAATATCAAAATATGCCCTGGGATATGGTGTAAGGCTACCACAAGTGACACTGGATTTCATTTTTTATAACAATTTCAACTTGGTGTTGTTAACAGGGTGAAAGTTTGTTTAGACTCAGAGTTTGAATGTTATTGTACAAATATCAAGTTTTTAAGGTAGGGAATGAATGCAGGGAAAACATATACCATGTTTTGAAGGTTAAAAATGTTGTGTAAAAAAAATTATTTTTATCTAAGGATAGTACTGAATGATATGTGATATGTATCATGAAGTAAGTAATGTGTACAAGTATCATGCTTCTAAAGTTAAAAGTGTGGGACAAAGAACATTTCTAAGGTTAGGAGTGAACGTTGAGGGTTATGTATCACATTATTAAGGGGTGAATGCTGTTGGACAATATCATAAAGAATCAGATCAGTAAAAAAAAATACAAGCTAGAATATAATGTTGAAATCATAAGTACAGGTACTTGAGCATTCGGGGTTTGGGTTAGAGAAGTGAATACAACGTCATCAACTAGTCATATGCCTGCATTAAATAAGAACGAATGAGGTGCGAAAAATTCACAAACTTTAGAATAGATTAGTCATAAGTGGTGAGAGCTTAATCACCTAAGAGCACCTCACTATGCCTTTAATAAATTTAGATTAGTGGCTCTCAGTTTAAATGTTTCTAACTTAACTATATCATGCCATTAACAACTTTTACAGTAAAAAAATTTTAATCGGTGCTTGCTTTTGTAGAGGAATTTATACAAAAAAAACATAGTTCCACAAAATTTTTTTTTTATAAAAAAATGCAGTTGCTGATAACATACAAGCAGCATCATGTCCAGACATGCCATGGCTAAGTAGGTGGTGGCAAATGTTATGTAGAAACTGGCTCGGAGTGGATGCTAAAGCTATTCAGCTTGAGACGTTAGAGTTGGGTGACCAAATCAGATCTGTAGTTATTGCCTGTGTGTTGGGTGTAACCATGCCTACCTGGGTCTGTCTTGGTAGAGTGTGGTCCCTGGACTTGTCTGAGAGCCTGGCTTTGCTGCCTGTCCACATACTGCTGAGGTTTAAGACAGAAGTTTAATTTGGTTGTCTTTTAACAACCATTTATACCACCTTTTGGTAATGTGAATATTCTTAGAAATTATATTTAGTAGGCCCTATAGAATGTTCTTCAGTATAAAAGGAGCTGGGTAATAGAATTTAAATTGTAATTATTCAATTTATACAAATAATGTTATATTACATCTAAAGTTTTTGATTTGTATCTGATTTTGAATTTAAAATAATATGCAATAATAATTTCCAAAATTATACAATATAATACTTAACTTAAACTAAATGTTATTGTTTTTCGTAAATGCTAAAGAAAAGCTATAACGATATTTAAGTCTATTAAACTTTTTGGTAATTTTAATTGAGTTTCAAGGCTATTTCTCAGTTGCTTCCCTTTAAGCTTAAAAAAATGTTGATGGGAGGTAATAAATCACTTTGAATAATTAATTCTTTACTTCTAAAATACATAAAACTACCTCCAGTTTCTTAGCTGTTATATACAAATATACGAAAAAGTTTATGGGAGCCGATATGCTTTATTTTTAATATATAACAGTCAAATTAAATGTTTTTTATGACAATATTTGCCAATGTTTTTAATTATTTATAACTGAATGTGGCTACTTGGGGTGATTAGATGTTATGTAAGGTAGACTAGGCTCACCTGAGGGTGTACCTGATTAGATGTTATGTAAGGTAGACTAGGCTCACCTGAGGGTGTACCTGATTAGATGTTATGTAAGGTAGACTAGGCTCACCTGAGGGTGTACCTGATAAGATGTTATGTAAGGTAGACTAGGCTCACCTGAGGGTATACCTAATTAGATGTTATGTAAGGTAGACTAGGCTCACCTGAGGGTGTACCTGATTAGATGTTATGTAAGGTAGACTACACTCACCTGAGGGTGTACCTGATTAGATGTTATGTAAGGTAGACTAGGCTCATCTGAGGGTGTACCTGATTAGATGGTATATAAGGTAGACAGCTTACCTGAGGGTGTACCTGATTAGATGTTATGTAAGGTCGATTAGGCTCACCTGAGGGGTGTACCTGATTAGATGTTATGTAAGGTAGACTAGGCTCACCTGAGGGCTGTAAGGTAGACTAGGCTCACCTGAGGGCTGTAAGGTAGACTAGGCTCACCTGAGGGCTGTAAGGTAGACTAGGCTCACCTGAGGGCTGTAAGGTAGACTAGGCTCACCTGAGGGCTGTAAGGTAGACTAGGCTCACCTGAGGGCTGTAAGGTAGACTACGCTCACCTGAGGGCTGTAAGGTAGACTAGGCTCACCTGAGGGCTGTAAGGTAGACTAGGCTCACCTGAGGGCTGTAAGGTAGACTAGGCTCACCTGAGGGCTGTAAGGTAGACTACGCTCACCTGAGGGCTGTAAGGTAGACTAGGCTCACCTGAGGGCTGTAAGGTAGACTAGGCTCACCTGAGGGCTGTAAGGTAGACTACGCTCACCTGAGGGCTGTAAGGTAGACTAGGCTCACCTGAGGGCTGTAAGGTAGACTAGGCTCACCTGAGGGCTGTAAGGTAGACTAGGCTCACCTGAGGGCTGTAAGGTAGACTAGGCTCACCTGAGGGCTGTAAGGTAGACTAGGCTCACCTGAGGGCTGTAAGGTAGACTAGGCTCACCTGAGGGCTGTAAGGTAGACTACGCTCACCTGAGCATGTACCTGATTAGATGTAATATAAGGTATAAGGTAGACTAGACTCACCTGAGGGCTGTAGCCACTGAGGGTGTTCCTCATCCTGTGCTGTTCCAGTGGCGACACATTACTGCTGCCACTCTGACGGTTGGTAGAGCCACTGTAGCCACTGCTTGACCCTGACTGCCCAGAGTAGGACACCTGAGGCAAACCTTTGTCCTCGTAGTACTGGGCATTAGCTCTTGGGGGAGTTGACCTTTGGTCAAAGGCTGACCTAGGGTGCAGACAAAACATTGATAGGTTGTAGCCCATGTAGTTCAATAATCCAGAAAATACTAATTATAATAATTTTAAAATAAAATTACCTTGAATAAATAATCTGATATGAATTTCCTTAAAATTTTAAACAATGTTAAAATAATTTTAAAATATAAAATATTATGTTGTTCTGATAGGGGAGATAACAAAGAAGACGTACTTGTTATTTCCCCTTGGTGAGGCTGAATTGACACTAGACGCCCCATCCACCAGACTCTCATTGTACCTTGGAGATGGAGTGTGAGTCTGGGAGTCCCTGGACCCTGCAGTGAAGGAGCTGTCTTTGATGGGATAGGACTGACCCCTGGGGGCTTGAGACCTTGCGTAGGGGCTGTAACTGCTAGCTGGGCCCTGGGGATTTCTGCTGGATGTTCCGTAGTTGTCCGGTGGGCCCTGGGAGTTTCGGCTGGTTGTTCCATAGTTGCTGGTTGGGCCTTGAGAGTTTCTCGCGGATGTGTTGTAGCTGTCTGGACCTTGATTGTTTCTGCTGTAGCTGCCTGCGTCAGAGTTTTGTTCCGGGCGTTGGCCAGGTCGGCCGTAACTGACCCGGGTCGAATCATTTGGTCTGGCACTGCTGGACGTGTTCTGGCCACTTCCTGGTTCATAGCTCCTAGCGCCGGCAGGTGGGTTCTGTGACCTGGAGTACCTGCTGTCAGTGTCGGACTGGTACTGGCTGTACCTGTTAGAGTCCGGCCCTCTCTGCCGGCTCCTCCCATACTCGGAATTGTTCTGGCTATAGCGATCACTTTCAGTTACGTTCTGGCTGTACCGTTTAGCATCAGCGGCGTGGCTGTTGTAGTCACTAGCCTGCTCGTGATAGCTGAGTCTACTCTGATTAGACCGCCCCTGGCGGTAGCGGTCCTGTTGGTGGGTATCTGACTGGTAGTGCTCGTAATCTGACTGACCACCACCCCGCATTGTGTCCTTCAGGCTTGAATAGGGAGGAGGAGGGCGTGACCGGGAAGCAGAAGAACTGTAGCCGTCGTTCTTCTCACTGCGCAGGCTGGGGTTTACAGGAGCTGATGGCGCTGAGCTTTGGTCCAGCAGCTGAGACTTGGTCACTTCTTGACCACCTGCCAGCCGTCCTTGACTTAAACTTCCTGATATCCTGCTTCCACTATGGGGGAAAGAAATGACATTTTTTATATATATTTTGGAAAAGAAAATTTAAGATGAAATATATTTCAATCAATAATACAAATAATTTTTAACAGAAGAGCTCATTTTAAGGAAAATCTAGAGCAAGTAAAGACACAAAAACACTGTCAAATATAACAGGTAATAGGATGACATAAAAAGTCACAAAACAGGTAATCAGATGAAAAAAAACCTAATACAAAAGGTAATCAGATAAAAAAGCCAAATATAACAGGTACTCAGATGGCAGAAACAGCAACATAACAAGTAAAGAGGAGACCAAAAAACAGCCAAATATAAAAATGCAAACAACTAATGCATCAACCTACTAGACATATCTGCCTGATGGATCGGTGTAATAGCTGTCTTGTCTGGAGATTGTGGAGCTTGCCCCAGACTTCTGTGTGCCACTTTTGTCAGCATCCCTGATTATAATCATTATATAAGTTTTCATTGTTGTAAAACACAGCAAATCAAGGTTCAATTAGGTTCACAAAAAACTATTATTATTGTTGTGAAACACAGAAAATCAAGCATTATTGTTATGAAACACAGAAAATCAAAGTTCAATCAGGTTTACAATAAACAAGTTTTATTGTTGTAAAACACAGCAAAACAAAGTTTAATTATGTTCACAATAAACACTACAGAAATTTCTTGCCTTTGTCCATGTTAATATTTGTACTAAAAGTTAAAACTACTTACCCAAAGCTTTTTGTTCTTGAAGCCCAGATTTTTTGTCGAATCTTTGGTGAGTATTTGACTCTAAATAAGTTTGCCTTCGTTCTGTAGAAGAGGGGAAAAATAACTATCAATAGTCAACCTTTATTAATAATGAAATTTAAACAGCAAATAAAAGAAAGAGCAAGAACAGTTAGAAGTAAACATTACTTTGTGTTATTTATTTGTATTTTAGAATTTAAGCAAGGGCAAGAACAGTAAAAAGTAAACATTATTTTGTGTTATTTATTTGTATTTTAAAATTAAATTCAAACTAAGCAGGGGAAATAGTTTGCTTCATGTACTGAAATTAAACTTTTAAACAAGTATTAAACTTTTAACAAGTAAAATACACATTTTTAAAGTATTGAGGACATATTGACACTGATAGCCAGACCTAAGTTGATATAGTTTTAATGGTGCAATATAGTTTTGTTATGCACCAAGTTAACTGGTGTTCACAACATCCATCATTTTAAAATGATGAATAGAAAAAGTTACACTATGGAAAATTTGTACAGAATTAAAAAAAGTTAAAACTAATTTGAATAAGACTACTCTTTTATACTCTAGGAAAAAATTGCACAGAATTTGAAAAAAAAAAGGTAAAATTTAAATAAGACTATACTTGTATTATAGCCACGATAATATTTATAGTAGCATGTAAATTTCACACTAATTGCCCCCAGAGGTGTTTGAAAAATGAAACTTACTCCACTTTGGTGTAGGGGATATCTCTCAGCTGGTCAACAGTCATCCCTTCAGTGTCTACCAAGTCAAACCTATTCACGGAGATGACATGTTCAAAAAACTTTTTAAGTAGAATAAAATACAGTATATAATTTCCATAAGAGATAATATGGATTCTAACTAATGATACAGGGTTTAAATAAAACTTCAGAAAATATAATTATCAAATTAGTGATTACTTTTAAAGTTTAGAAAGAGTTTAGTTTAATTTAAGGCTCTATTCACCAACATCCTTTGGGCACCTTATTTTCAAGTTTAAGAAAATCTATTTTTTTAAACATAATAAATTTTATATTAGCCTCTTCATGTGCTTAAGTCACATAAAACAGATGAACACTTATCATCTGCCCTATGAGCTTTCACTTCTGAAAAAAATTGTTTTACTACTCTACACTTACTCTATATGTTGCTTTAGTTCTTCAGGCGGTCTTTTTGTGTTTCCTGGTGACTTACTTCTCCTGCAATTTTAAACAGTTTTTTATTGTAATAATGTAAAACATTTAAAAGTTATATTTTGATTACCAATTTAATTTTAAAAATTCTGTTTTCAAATATTGTTTAACAGAATTGATTTGTTCGGAAATTTCTAGACATTAATTAAAAAAATGATTAAGACACAAGTCTAACTATACAAATTATTTCGCCTTACCTTCTTCTTCGTCTCTGCTTCAGTTCCCCAGCGGGGGCAGAATGTAGAGATGGCACAGAGCTGTTGATGGGGGTGTAAAAAAATTACACATATGATCACATACATGGGTGCTAACAACGCACTCAGTTTTTTTTTAATTAAAAAGTTTGAACAATTGTAAAAAATACTTACCCATGAGCATTTTCCTTATCATGGAATGGATATAATCTAAGGAGAAAAGTAAATAGTTAACAAATAAATAAGATATACTAAATTGTAAAGTTAGCTGACTTACTGACACTAGAGTTAATTTACGTAAAAAAAAATATTTTGGACCAAAAAATTTTGGACTACAGAATTTGTATACATCAGAAACTTCTCCACTTACAGGTGTCCATTGCTCTGTTTGGCACCTTTCTCACTTTGGGTATTGCGTTTTTTCCTGTTTCCTGCAGAGTTGCTGAAGGAAACCTCAGATCCACTGTCACTGTCCAGTTCACGTCTGTAACACATTCAACAAATTTAAAATACACTGGTCTAGCGTGTATCAATATAGCTCGTACTTAAAAAAACTATTTTTCATAGCTATACCATTCAACAACATATACAGATACAGAACAAAAAAATTAGCTAAATTGTAACACTAAGCCATAAAGTACTAAGTACCTTCTTCGTCTTGTGGCAGATGCATCACTTTCGTTATCAGAACCTTTTCTGTTAGGGAAATATCTGTAATAAAACAGGTCCACAGGAATAATATTAGCAAAAATGTATAATTTTCTTTCCTAAAAATAAAATGCATTATCTTGTTAGTGAGTAAGAAAGATAAACCAAGGCATTAAAATAAAGATACATTCAATATTTCCCGGATATGTATCTGTTTATTGTGCATGTGTGGCAGATAATAAAAAGTTGTGTACCTCTTGCGCTGGCTGATCCCACTTTCACTGTCACTGCCAGAGATGAAGCTGGGATGTTTCCCATCCTTTCTCTCACTGTACACAGAGGGTGAGTCATGGCCTGATGTGTACAGTCCACTGGGAACAGACAGGTGGGTGATACAGACAGGTGGGTGATACAGACAGGTGGGTGATACAGGCAGGTGGGTGATACAGACAGGTGGGTGGTACAGACAGGTGGGTGATACAGACAGGTGGGTGATACAGACAGGTGGGTGATACAGACAGGTGGGTGATACAGACAGGTGGGTGATACAGACAGGTGGGCGATACAGACAGGTGGGTGATACAGACAGGTGGGTGATACAGACAGGTGGGTGATACAGACAGGTGGGTGATACAGACAGTTGGGTGATACAGACAGGTGGGTGATACAGACAGGTGGGTGATACAGACAGGTGGGTGATACAGACAGGTGGGTGATACAGACAGGTGGGTGATACAGACAGGTGGGTGATACAGACAGGTGGGTGATACAGACAGGTGGGTGATACAGACAGGTGGGTGATACAGACAGGTGGGTGACACAGACAGGTAGGTGATACGGGTGAGGTGATACAGACAGGTGGGTGATACAGGTGATACAGACAGGTGGGTGATACGGGTGATACAGACAGGTGGGTGATACGGGTGATACAGACAGGTGGGTGATACGGGTGATACAGACAGGTGGGTGATACGGGTGATACAGACAGGTGGACAATACAGAAAGGTGGGTGATACAGACAGGTGGGTGATACGGGTGATACAGACAGGTGGGTGATACGGGTGATACAGACAGGTGGGTGATACGGGTGAGGTGATACAGATAGGTGGGTGATACGGGTGATACAGACAGGTGGGTGATACGGGTGAGGTGATACAGACAGGTGGGTGATACGGGTGATACAGACAGGTGGGTGATACGGGTGATACAGACAGGTGGACAATACAGAAAGGTGGGTGATACAGACAGGTGGGTGATACGGGTGATACAGACAGGTGGGTGATACGGGTGATACAGACAGGTGGACAATACAGAAAGGTGGGTGATACAGACAGGTGGGTGATACGGGTGATACAGACAGGTGGGTGATACGGGTGATACAGACAGGTGGGTGATACGGGTGAGGTGATACAGACAGGTGGGTGATACGGGTGATACAGACAGGTGGGTGATACGGGTGATACAGACAGGTGGACAATACAGAAAGGTGGGTGATACAGACAGGTGGACAATACAGAAAGGTGGGTGATACAGACAGATGGGTGATACAGACAGGTGGGTGATACAGAGAGGTGGGTGATACACATAGTCGCAATGTCATTTCTCTTCAACCAAAAAACATGAACCGAAACATTTACTGAAATCAACTCTGCTTAAGTAACATCTAGTGGTAAAGAGGAGTTAATGAGTTAAATACCGGTCAAACTTGGACTCCCATGGTGCGGATTTAACACTTCTTGGTGACTGTCTACCATGCAACTCAGGCAATGACCTGTGTCTGGGCCTGTGGATAGAAGGCCAAGAATGCTATTAATTAATGTTTTCATTTCAAAATTTGTCTCAAAAGAAATTAAAATTAAATCAACTTTATATTTCGATCCTGAGCAATAAAATTATGGATTGGACGCACCAAATATACATTAATAATTAGAATTATAAAGAAGCTATACAATGCTACTAGACAGTTATTTCTTTAGATTTCAGACTTCTTTAACAAGTAGAGATATGAAACTATTACAGTAAGCAAAATGGCTAAATAATCCTAAAGAAATAAACAAGCTTACGCTCTGACAGGTTCTGGCTGGCCCATAACAGTCACAACACTGCGATTGTTCTGGGTGTACTGGTCCTGGTAAAGCTGTTCAGCTGCTTTCAATCAAATAGTCAAATATGTTTCAATGAAATAGTAAAATTTGTTTCAATGAAATAGTCAAATTTGTTTCAATGATATAGTCAAATTTGTTTCAATGATATAGTCAAATTTGTTTCAATGATATAGTCAAATTTGTTTCAATGATATAGTCAAATTTGTTTCAATGATATAGTCAAATTTGTTTCAATGATATAGTCAAATTTGTTTCAATGATATAGTCAAATTTGTTTCAATGATATAGTCAAATTTGTTTCAATGATATAGTCAAATTTGTTTCAATGATATAGTCAAATTTGTTTCAATGATATAGTCAAATTTGTTTCAATGATATAGTCAAATTTGTTTCAATGATATAGTCAAATTTGTTTCAATGATATAGTCAAATTTGTTTCAATGATATAGTCAAATTTGTTTCAATGATATAGTCAAATTTGTTTCAATGATATAGTCAAATTTGTTTCAATGATATAGTCAAATTTGTTTCAATGATATAGTCAAATTTGTTTCAATGATATAGTCAAATTTGTTTCAATGATATAGTCAAATTTGTTTCAATGAAATAGTCAAATTTGTTTCAATCAAATAGTAAAATATGTTTAATAAAATGGTAAAATCTTTTATATTGTAAAGCTGGTTTCAATGAAATGGTAAAATCTTTTATATTGTAAAGCTGTTCAGCTGCTTTCAATGAAATAGTAAAATCTGTTTCAATGAAATGGTAAAATCTTTTATATTCCAAAGCTGTTTTCAATTAAATTATCACATTTTTATAGAACATACTAAAGCTGGTCACTGGTTTCAACAAAGTGGTCATAATGGAAACTCTGATATAAAAAAAACTAAAGATAATTCCCATTAAAAAAAAACAATTTAGAATGCAAACTGTCTAAATGTACTTAAGCTTATTTTACCAGCAAGCCTGGAGTCAGAGTTAGCTCTTCTAGGCTGCCGTCTGCTCTGTGATCTCTGTACATTAGGTTGTTTTCTGGCTCGTGATTCATTGGCTGCTAGACGCTCAGATCTTCCACTGAATTAAAAAACACATGCGTAGGTAAATAAAAATAAAGATGGTACAACCTTTTGAGAATCATATAAGAAACAAATATAAGGAAAAAACTGGCTAGGATAATTAATGTATATTAGTTTTGTTGTCTATGTGACAGGTTAACAAAATTAATTTTTGTTGTTCAGTTTATCATTCGTAATTTATGATGAAAAGAAAGTTTTAAAATTCTAATAAAGTCTGCTTTGTGTACATTTAGCTCAGAAGCTCAGGGATTTTAGGGTCAGCAGCTAAGGGTTTAAAGGGTTAAGAAAAACTAGATATTACAAACGAGCACCAGTTGAGTCCAATGTATAAATATGGTCTTTTTTAAAAGTTTAATTCACTGGCACATGTTATAACTAGTTAATTACCTGAAAAACATATGGTGCTCAACACAACATTTCCACAAATGCTTGCATGCTTGCTTGGTTGAGAGTTCAAATGCATAGGCGTGCTCTTCATTCTATACAACATTAAATGACAACATGCAAGCAAACTAAAGCAAGAAGACATCAACAGCATGAAATATGGACAGACAAATCAAGACACATGTTAGAAGACTTAATGAGCCCAATCAGAGAGAAGACATATAAAAAATAAATTTAATGAAGAATGAAAGGAAATAAAAATGGAAGAGAAACTAATTCAAGCAACAAGTTATAAATTAAAAAGTAAGCATACAAAATTAGCCAGAACTGAGTTCAGAATAGAAAAAACAAATAATAACTGAGTGACGGGGTTATGAAAGTTAGTTACTTCAAAGCAAGCAGAACCATCAGATAAATGCAACAAAAGAATATGGAAGTTCAGCTAAATGTATAACCTGCGCAAAACTGAAAGCATGCAATGTGGTCGTTTTGAGTCCCAAGTAAAATACCACATGCTGGCACCATAAAACAGCAACCATAGTTCTAAAGCAACATAAGTTGACTGATTTTCTAACTAAATCGATCATGGAAATGTTATTCAACTGAACAAAATATAAAAATAATATTCTAATTACACAGCTACCAACACTGTTCTACACAAAGAATTTTTTGTAACTGTGACATAAGCCAATATTTTTTAAAAATTATGTGAAAATTGTTGTAGACTGTGCATATTAGTTCTCTCTTTGTCATCAAGGATCAAGGTTTAATAGAAGGCACTTTACATTGTCATTCGCAGACCAACATTTTGCAAAAAAAAAAACAAAAAAAAAAACCTATTCATGTCCCTTTCATAAACACAAAAATAGAACAGTGTACTAGCTCTATTCTATATGGATTTAATTTTATGTTATTAGATGATACAGATTGAGATAAAAAAAAATTACTTACATTTTTGTCTTTCACTTTAATGGTGAAAATTTTTCCTTTATTGCTGGATTTTGTTATCCTGGGCCTTTAGAGAAGAAAAAAAACTTTTCCTTATACACGTAAAAATTTGAATTGTATGCATGAAAAGTTTAATTGTAATAAATTTAGTTAAAACAAAATTGTGTATTAGTTTAACAAAAAACAAAAACAACAAACCAAAAATAACTGGCGACTTTTGTTTTCTGTTTATATACAACAATGCCAGTGGGTGTCAAGCCAAGAAAATATTCCACATTGCTTTCCCCCTGCAAAATGTGTAAACATACTTTGATAATCGAAAGGATGAAGATAATTACAAATAGTGTGATAATGGAAATCATGAAGAAAATAATTTAGTGCAATGTGAATTGAATTAGGATCAGTAAATTTAAACAAAAATTTATGAAGTTAAGGAATTTTTTTAGATGAAAGTTTAAGTAAAAAAAAGACTGAAATAAAGGAGAAAATATTGGCAGTAAATACCAAATCAATAACATTTTTATGAATGAGTCTACAGAACGATTACTAAAAACATAAGGTATGTTCATTTAGATTTAGAAAGCAAAATTTATTTTTAGACTCACCTGAACAGGATGTAGATCTACACCATACATTTCTAACCATTTTACTTTCTCAAGGTACCGCTGCTCAGCCATAACTGGTGTTGCTCCCCTAAACATTCAAGAAAAGATACTTAAAATAAATCAAGAAAATTGCTTTTATTATAATAAGCTCAATGAGTATTAAACGATCAATTTAATTTACAGCCTTCAATGAAAATATTTTATGGAAATACGAACACGAAGAATTAAAAATGATGTACGTACACACATCTGCGGTGTACTGCAGCTATTCTAGCCTCTAACTCCTCAGTTTGGTTTGGCACAAAACAGAATTCAGACACATATCCAACTGTGTGTATCCTGGGCTCAAAGTCCCCCAACTCAGCTGTAAAAACATGTTTTTTTAAATTTTATAACAAAATATTCATTTTTCATATTTATAAGCAAACACAGTAATTGTTACTAGTACTTCTAATTATAAACAATACTTACATTGGACAGCGTAAGCACAAAGCTCAGCAACTTCCTCAAATGAAACAGGAAGTCTTCCCTGTAATATATCTCGTTTGACTTGTAGGAAGAACAGATACCTAAAAGTATAACAGTTTATAAATAATTAGACTTGAAGAACTCACAGAAATCCAAAAATGTAGAATTTAAATATCTAACATTTAAGAATAACATTAAGAACAATTTTTTTGTAGATTTGAATTTTACCTTGTGATCTCTTCATGTAATTTACAAGGGTCGGCAGCATAAAACTTGACACCAAAGTAAAACTTGTGAGGGGTTGAACACCCTAACAAAACATTATGTCATATAGTTGTTTCAATAAAACCTTATGTTTTATAGTTCTACTATTGTGTGGTCAATAACAATTATATACAATAGCAATAAGCATAATTGGATAAGTAATTAGAAAAACAAAAAAGTATTGTAAACTCTAAAGTTGAAGATTACTCTAACCTTTTAACTGTGATGATACAGACTTGGCATGATCAAGCCAATGCTAAAATGTGGAGAAAAAAAAAAGAATTATTTAAAAAAAAAAATTTATTTGATAAAATCGAGTACCTCTGTTTTTCTTCTAAAGCTATTCAGTATAATAATTTTTCTGTAAGTATAAACATTTGGGAGAGAATTAGGCCAGAGTAGCAGCCTATCTTCCCTCTAAGCTGCGGGGCCGTGCAGCAGTTTTGAACTGCGCAAACATAATACCTGTAGAGGGAATATTGTTAGCAACACCAGCATAAGAAACAGTGGAGAAGTCTGGAACAAAATAACAAAAGCTACTCACTGTTTGTCCAGTGTCATCAACATATCTCAGTCCAAAGTAATCCTTCTCTAGGAGGTTGATCATTTCACAGACAGCATCAAATAGGGCTTGCCCTTTCCAGCTCCCCTAGAAAATAAGCGGTCAGTCATATGACAGAGTAACTTCAGTAACATTCTACACTATGATAAACATAATAACTAACTTATTATAGTGTATAAAACATACTTTGAATTATTCTAAATCAATGTTCATAAATACAATCAGGCATTTGTGAGCTAGCAAATACTATAGTAAGTTTTGGACACTCTATGACCAGGAAGGTGAAGAGGTAAAGTCTTTTGAATGGTCTAGACCAAATATAGCTTGCTAAATACATTTACATAAAGCATTTGAAGCTCCTGAAATCATTTGGAAATGACAGCTAACAAAAGCATCCATTACCATAAAAAATGTAGTCAATCAAATTTCATAAGACACAGCAGTGGGAAAGGAGTGAAATTAATGTTTTAAAACAAACCCTAAGTAAAAGATAAGTGGGTTGTAATGACATGTATAGCGCAAACCACTATGTGATAAATGACATAAGGGAGGGGTAGATAAGACCTAGTCTGAATTAAACAGGTCATTCTACACAATCAATAAGAACATCATTTTATTCCATGCAAAGCAAATGTGCCTTTGCCAAATAAAATCTTCCATAAAAGCTATACTATATTAACAATCTTTCTCACAAAACTGGCCACAAACCTTGTATGGGACTCTCTGCTCTGAGTCATCCAAAAATATGACTAAGCATGCAGGGCCTTTAAAATCCGAGCCATTGCTTCCACTCTTGGAACTAGGTTTACTCTCTCCACGAAAGAATTTCGGAATAAGACGGGATAACCTTCCCCCTTTGGACATTATAATTGGAGTCACATTTGTCACCTTGTTATTAAAATTTCAACATTGTGCGGAAACTGAAACAAGAATAATAATGAAAATATAGAGCAAGGAAAGATTTTTTATTTTATAAGTAGGATTACATATTATTAGTTTGAAGCTACTTTGTAATTTTACTATAACTTTACGAGCCGACCTGCGGCGTATCATACGCCGCTATTTTGTTGTTTTATTTTCTACTTTTCAGCAATTCATAATTTGTGATTCGACAGTACCAATGCTGCCACTAAAAATATTTGCTTTAAAACACTATCAGTAGGTTGATAAACCCCCCTCCCCCACCCTCCTTTCCCCCAACCCCTACCCTACCCCCGTGAAAGCAGTCACTTAGTTACCTCCCCTAAGTTTAAAATAGTTTCAAACTAAATTATCTGCACCTAATAGCCATCACTAAACCCGGCTCTACGATTGTAAACATTATATATATTTATATAGATTAGAAAATTTTGAACTAGGCCTATGTATAATTGTATTGCTATGTAAAGGTTATATTTTTATTGGGCATATTCTATAGACCTAGATATAGGCCTATCATAAATTTAAAATTATTTCACAAGGAATAGCCATCAGAAGCCATGACTAACCAATCAGAGGGAAGCTTTTTTTTGTGATAATGGGCAGGTAAAAATTGTCTAAAAAGCTGTATGTTGTTGAAGGATAACCCCATAAAACTTAAAGGGGGTCCAGAAAGTGTAACAACCTACTTTTGTGTTTTAGAAAGTATGTTTAATAACTGAATATTAGTTGTTAAACAGCAAGTAATTTTGAATTATGTAGTCTTTTTGTTGAATGTAATAAAAAAATGTATCAATGCAACGTGATTTAAAAAAAAAATATTTGGTTGTCATTCAAAAGCCATTGTTTATAAAAAAGTGGTTAGCAATATTTGATTTCTTTTTACATAGACTGATAAACCTAATAGTTCAGTAAGTTCTACAGACTTCAATTCATTTTTGTACTCTTCAGGTTGATATTTAAAAAGTTCTAGTATTTTTAAAGAAACCAACTTTGAAATTTAGCCTTCATTTTCCAACGCAAATTTTGAAATGCTTTTCTGGCATATATTTATATATAGCCCTGCCACCTACAGTTTGTTGTTATAGCGCGAAAACCCTGCCATTTTGCTCGTGGGAAACATTTTTAATAGTAATTTGTAGAAGGTCACTGGAATTTTGCCGAAAAATCGTCGGAAGTCATGCGTTCGGTCCGGACACCATATTGTTGTTAGCAACTGACCACACCTCCAAGTTAGCGAGTAATACTATCAGATGGCTATTTAGTAACTTATAGTATTTAGCTATTTGTAGTGAACTATAAATAAATAGACACTCTATTAGAAAGACAGCTAGTTAATGACTCATTTCAGGCTGTTAGTGAAGTGATGAACAGATAAGTAAATTACTGTAAAATTATATTACTCACTGCCATCACACTAACTAAAAATAAAATAAATTGAGCCTACAGAAACAGATTACTTTGAGATTACAGAACATAAGAAATGGTCACGGACTGAGATGAACTTCTTTAGATCTAGTAGATAATGGTCTAGATTTAGTCTAGTTAAGTGTAGGTAATCTAGAATCTAGACTAGTAACTAGCTAGTTGTCTAGAGACTACAACTACAGACAACACAGTGATGAACACAAGCAATGAAAGCTGAAAGCAAGAGAAGAACATTTTTCATTTTTCATGTGAAGTAGAAAACTCGACAACTCGTCTCTTTTTCTTACCGGTCTTTACTTTAAAAATGCCTTGAAAATAACATCGAGTAAGCAAACAATCCACGTCATAAGTTCTTATTATTTTAAAATATTTTATTTTACTTGTAGATCTACTAATCTAGTCTAGGCCCTAGGATAGGCTAACAAAAAACAAAGACTAGGTATTGAATAAAATCATTCTCTATGATTATGATCCTAAATTTTTAAGTGCATTAAAAAAGTGACTTCCTTGCGGAAGTTTCATGTTCATAACTAAACTTCAAGGCTTGGAGATCAATTCACATTTTATTTATTTGATTTCATACTTGCTAGATCTAGACCTCTAGACTCTAGACGCTAATCTTTGTCTTACAAGTGGCTTGTTTTGTTGTTTTTTTTACGTTTTAGGTTACGTTAAAAGAATAAGCAACTAGATTTGGATTCTAGTTAGGCCTAGATTCTACTAACTTACTTGATTTTACTTAAGAGATAACGAAAGTTGGAAAGTGAAAGTAAAACTTGAAACTTGAGAACATCATCGTAGAGATAGACTCATAATGTCATAGAGACATAGATTCAGATCAGATTCATAATCAATTATTAATCATATCATAGGACACAGATAGACTCATAGTGAAAATAGAATAAGGCCCTCGCTAGGCCTATAGTCTATATATAATAATTATAATTATATAGTAATATATAGTATAGCCATAGCCCATTATATTATATTAATTTAGTAGGCCTAATTTACTGATAAAAAAAAAATAAATCTAGAATTCTGAAACAGTTTTTGTTTTTATAATTTTAATTTTTATCAGTAGGTATTAGGTAGCCAGCCAAAGACAATGGAAGAGGTACAAAATGACTTGGAAGACAGCAAAAGGTTGAAGTTTGGGACTAGATATTTGACAGACCCCCAAAATGTTTTTCAGCACAATGCTTGGTAAGTTACTTAAAGTTAGTCATTAATTGTACTAGACCTAAGACTGAATTAAGACCCAGGACCTATATAATATATAATTAGATATAGTTAATCTACCATTGAGACCCATAAATAAATTGTTGTATTAAAAGCTTTCCGGTTTTACTCTATACCAGGGGTCTCCAAACTTTTCAGTCCGAGGGCTGCATTAACTATCAATTTTCAGTTCGGGGGCCAGTTTCTTCCAGGTGTGTCTTTGATTTTCTGGGCAAAGTTCCTCAGCCATTACCAACAAACGTTTTTTCCGTGGACAAAAAGATCTCCGCGGGCCGGATAAGAGGACCTCGTGGCCCACATCCGGCCCGCTGGCCGTAGTTTGGAGACCCCTGCTCTAGACTATAGGCTTATATAGTGCTTAAAATGTAACACATACTGTTATTAGGGACAATGTTATTTGGGATGAAGATCAAGAAAGAGAAGCCAAGAAGATAACAGTAGAACATTCCACGCATGCTGTACCTCAAGAAAAAAAAGGTATGTCTACATTCTAGAAGACTGAATGAGTTTCATAACATAATGCATACTCCGTGATGTCTTCTTGGATATTGATTTGAAATTTTAAAACCTGTCATTTAATTCATTATTGGTTAGCTGGCAAAAATATCTTTTAGAAACTCTAAGCCATTACGAAGTTTTTAAAATTATTAAATTTGTCTTACCTTTTTTTATTTCTAATCAGATGAGTTGGAACGAGAAGCAGTGAAACACTGGGACCAGTTTTATTCAATTCACCAGAACCGATTTTTTAAAGATCGGCATTGGCTATTCACAGAATTTCCTGAACTCTATGGCAAAGAAAAAAATACCCCATTATGTGATGTATCCACAAGTACTAAAGCTCAAGATGCGGAAAAGCCAGATCATGCTTGTTCAAAGAGTGAAGGCTGTTCTCCACCGAATGATTTAAGTGTTAATGAAGTGCAGTGTGAGAGCCCTTTATCAGATAATTTGGTTTCTACCGTAGAAGACTTAAACATTACAGCTGATGATGGACCTTCATTTAACATATTGGAGGTATTGTTTTTTTAATTGTGGAAATAATGTTCAATAATATCTGCCAACTGAATGGGTTTATGTTTTTTAATGAAAACAACAAATTTATCATTAATTCTGCAGGTTGGTTGTGGTGTAGGTAACACTGTGTTTCCAGTTCTAACTACAAATAAGTAGGTATAACCCAATCCCTTTAGATTAAAACACTAAATCATGAGGGATCGTAAAAAAAAAGCATTAGTTAATATCTTTGGCATAGTCAGTTGTTAAAAAAAAAATTAATGTTTTTATTATAGACTAGTGCTGTAAAAGTATTTATTATTTGATAAAATTATACTTTTATTTTGGACCATACATTTTTTTTGTTCCATTGTTTCCTCAGTAATCCCAATCTAAAAATATACTGCTGTGACTTTTCCTCCACCGCTATTGATATTGTCAAGGTGAGCAGTGAGTTATATTAGGCATTAATGCTTAACACCTGTTTCTTAAGCCTAATGTTACTAAATGATTTCCATTTTTTTAGTTATTTATATTTTGTAACTCTTCTTCCAGGCTAATAAAGACTATGATCAGAAAAGGTGCCATGCCTTTGTCTATGACATAACAGATGATAAAGCTTCCATGCCGTTCCAGGAAGGAAGCTTAGACGTCATTATAATGATTTTTGTTCTATCCGCTGTTGCACCAGAAAAGTTTGTAATGTTTTGTTTCGTATTTTTTTAACGATTTTCTGAAAAATCTTTTTAAATAACCATTTTAAATATAAAAAAAGAATTGTGCTATATTGATTTAGTTTAGTTATTGCTTTTTGTTATGATTATTATTATTACTATACTGATTATGAAAATATGTCTTGAAAATTATTTTTTTGTTCAGGATGCAAGCAGCCATCACCCGCTTAGCATCATACCTTAAACCTGGCGGCAAGTTTCTTTTTAGAGACTATGGAAGATATGATTTGGCACAGTTGCGCTTTAAGAAAAGTGAATATTTCTTAGTCAATTTTTTGTTACTTTTTGTTTGAGTGAAAAAAAAATTTCTTATTACACCATAAGCATACCATTTAATGGTGTTCAAGTTCAAGAATTTATGCAAACTTATATTCAGTATTTAAAAAAATCATGTAAATGTCAAATATTCAAAATGTAAGATTTACAAAGAAATTTTAAGATGATAGTAGATTTGAGTAAACATATGATTTATTCTTTTTGTATAATTTTTAAAACTTCTTTCAGGCCGGTGTATATCTGAAAACTTTTATTTTAGAGGGGATGGTACTAGGGTATATTTCTTTACACAAGGTAAACAATTTATACTTTTTTAAATACACCTATTAAATTTTTACCTGCTTTTTGTCATTTTGAGATTTTTAATTTTAAATAATTTTATTTAGTGTTGGATGTGCTTCACTCATAGTTTAAAAACTATTAATCTTTCAATCAGTAACAAAACATTTAATATTCAACTGATATTGTCACCATTTGCAGTTATCTTTTAATATGCTATAATTTTTATCACAGATGAATTAAAAGATTTGTTCACTAAGGCAGGATTGACAGAGAAAGAAACTATGGTTGATCGACGCTTACAAGTCAACAGAGGCCGCCAGTTGAAAATGTATAGAGTGTGGATACAATGTAAATACATCAAAAGTTAGGATTTATTTTATTTGAATAAAAATCTGTCTAAATACCTATAAAATTTCTATTATTTTTTTTTGCATTTCTTCCAAACAGTTATGTTGTTGATACAACTTTTTTTTTTAGTATTAAGAAAAATGAATGATTTTCAATTTAAAAATATGTATTTAATATTTTAAATAAACCTTGAATTATAACTTACATGGGACTCTTGGCCTAGCAGTAGAGAGCTAGACTGCTAACCTAAAACTTTCAAGTTCAAATCTTAAGGGAAAGCAAAGGCGGCTGGGCACAGTGCTGACCACACTGTCCCTTCAATATGCCAAGTTATCTGAAAAAGAACTCTACTCCATCTGCCTGTGTCTTGGGCACGAACAGGAAAACATGACGATGATTGTAACCAAACATTTTTAAGGTGGATATCAATACAGAATGGTAAAACAACAATGTTAATAACAATCCAATTTTATTTTATATTTTTCTTAATTTGCATTTCTCCTAAGCAAGTATGGAGTTGATACAACTTTATTTTGTAGTATTAAGAAAAATATAAGATTTTAATTAAAAAAATATACCTTCAATTGTAATCCATACATTTTTAAAGATTGATTGGTAAAATTTATCAATACCAATCAAATTTATTTTATATTTTTCTTAATTTGCATTTCTCCTAATCAAGTATGGAGTTAATACAATTTTATTTTGTAATTTTAAGAAAAATATAAGATTTTTTTTTTTATAAATATATTTAATATTTAAAAAAAATAAACCTATTGTAATGAATAAAAATTTTAAGATGGATACCTACCGAATGGTAAAATATCAATATTAACAACAAATTTTTAAAATATTTTTCTTAATTTGCATTTCTCCTAAGCAAGTATGGAGTTGATACAACTTTATTTTGTAATATTAAGAAAAATATTTAAAAATTGCAGTTAAAAAAAAAATAATTAAAAAATGTAATCTATTTTAAGTAATGTTTTCAAGATGGAAATCTATACAAATACTGAAAAAATAGCTATGCTATTTTCACATGATATCATGTGTATCAATACAAAATTAGGAGCACGTTTATTTACACACTACATTATACTTTGTGGCAAATAAGAATTTTCTTTAAAAACATATACAATTCACATTGCATTTAACAAAAGAATGTATGCTTTAGAAAGGCACACCAAAGCTTTTCAATGATGTTTGGCAATTGTATCAAGTACTTTTGCAGAAATACTAATTGCCTTTTCTTTATTTAACTTCCCGCACAGCAGATGTTGCAGTAACAGATTAGAGTAACATGGAATGATGAAGAAAATTGTCTGTGACAGACAATTTCTTTAGTAATACAGTATTAAAAATATATGTAATTGTATGAATTGAACTAACAACAAATGTAAATTGACCACTTTTGAATATCACAAGAAAGCCAGTAAAACAGTTATAATGTAACGCAACTAAAATAATATCACTGGTCAGTCAGTTTGAAAATAAATGTTTAGAAAAATTATAAAAAATAAAATTTATATTAATGGATTACCAATAGAGTACCAGTTATGGTTAGTAAAACAATAAAAGTGTAGTTTTAATAATTTCAACAACGGTTGTAAAAATTTTTTAAAGCTCCTATATTTTAAAAACACATGCATTAGGTTGTTATTAGAAACTAGACAAATGATGTATGTATTCATGTTTTGGATAACAATTGAAATTTAACAAAGTAAACAAAGGAAATTTTATAGATCTGATAAAGTACTGCTAGAGTATAAAAATGTACATTAATTATATAAAACTAAAAATTAAAAGGGTAAAAAATGTATGTAGAAAATATGTGTGTAAAACAATTCAGAAATATTTATTGTGAAATATGTGTAGAACACTCATGCAGAAAACATGTATTGAGAAGTATGTGTAGAACATGCAGAATACATGTATTGTGAATTATGTGTAGAACATTGAAGCAGAAAACATGTATTGTGAAGTACATGTGTTGTGAAGTATGTGTAGAACACTGATGCCCCTTAGGATCTATTGTAAAAACATCTTAAAACAAAGAAGAAAAATAGAGCATAAACAAAAAAATATTGCAGTGATGTAAAAATTATTAAAAAAAACTCCACTCATCAATACTAGTGAATTGAGACTATGTGTGGTGGTTTTCCTACCATATAAAAATAACTACCAATGGTAACAGTTGTATCTAGAAACACTAGGTCAAATAACTGGGTTATTATGACCTTATGCTTGTTTCAGGCTTCACGCTTCTGTAAAATTTTCTTCAAATTCCTCAGCGTAAATACTGTAAAATTAAACAAAAATCATCTTCAAAGAGTACTCATTTAATTTGATTTAAATTTCTAGCTATCTCAGGATGATATTTAAGCAGCAGCGTGTTATTAACTTGCTTTATAAGCTTTTAACAATTAATAGCCATCACTGTGGTCAAATTCCTAGGGGCTGGTATACCGTCTTATTACATATAATTAGCGTTGGACTGAATAAAGCGGCCAACATGTCTTTTTACTGCGGGATTATGATTCTAAAATTAGACTTTGGGGAAAGTTGAAAGTGAAAGTGTTTGCATTTCGTAAAATACATTGTCGACAACATAAATTGGTTAGTTTATAATATATTATTATTCAGTTATAATTATTATTATAATAACAGTAAATAGGTAAGTTTGATACTGAGCCTTGATACCAAATTTGGCTTGATTATCTCAAACGGTTCAAAAGTTATAGGCAAAGTTAGAAGCAGATAAGTGAAAATTGGTTGGGAAAATAGATGAAATGTGTTTACTCAGCCCTCTTAGGCTGAAAGGGGTCTAAAGTCTATCACGTGTGAGAAGATCCATCATACAGATGATAGCGTCCCTTTATCTAATCAAGGCCAGCTATCTGTTGCCTGCATTACTTACCGTTGGAGTTTATCAGACAGCGACTGTGGCCTTTTTACCAGGTTCACATCAAGGCAAGTCTTGATGAGGTCATACATTTTCTCTGGACAACACTTTGGCTTGGTGTGACGAGCTTCTACTTTTTCACTGACCAGCCAATTGTAAACCTGTTGGAGAAAAATCACAAAAAATTATGCCGACTAATGGTCTGATGAGAAAAAAAACATACTTCAATTTAATTTTTTAATTAAAAAAAAAAAATTTTTCTCTTTAAATGATGACCTTAACAACTAATGAACAATCATAAAGCTAAGGTACAAAAGAAATACAAAAAAATGTGTAAAAACAACACTTGTGGTCTTACATTATCAGAAAGCGGTTTCAAGATTTTCTTGAGATAACCATCAGGGTCCCTTGTTCCTGTTAGGTTATCAAAAGCTGTGAGGATCTCCCACATCAAGCTGCCAAAGCTGTAAACATCACTGGCTTGGGAATAGTCCCAGGATTTTATGACTTCTGGAGCAGCCCTTTGTTTAAATGATTTTAAAACAATATTAAGCTTCATATATATTTGAATACAATTTGTTGGGTAAATTTGATCTTTAGAAAAAAGGTGTCAATGTAAACAGCTGAATTCAGAATAGAAGAGTATTGTGGATTTAACTACATTGACAAATTCATTACGCCAAAATAGTAACTGCTGATGCACATTTGATATTTTGAATGGACTTTTTCACATACTATTGTTTTGTTGTTTTGTACACATGGGACATTTGCAAAAATTTATTCTTCATTCATGTTAATAGGTTACACTTAAAAACTTGACTAAAAATCTGATGACAATTTGATTAAATATACAATGTCTAGGTATAGACAAGAACGTAGGGAGTATTCAAATACTTACAGCTTGTGGAAGGATTGGCTGGGTTATTCTTTCATGTTTACGGTGTGAACTTTAATGTGTGAATTTTTAAATTAGAATACAACACTTAGATGTATCCACTGACAGGATTTACCTTTCCTCTGGACATCTGTTGTAAGGATTGCTTCCCCTGGGTAATCTATCATTACTCAACAGGATTAAAGATGACAGGGAGATCAGATACACCTGAGAAAAGTCGTGATGAGGTTTATGAGGATGGTGTGGTGGGAAGATAGCATGGTCAGGTGGAAGAGCATATGTCTGCAAACCTGAAAGTCTCTAGTTCAGATCCTTATGATGTCTATGAGTCCACCCATTTCTGTTCAGTACTTGACTCATGTTAGAGAATGTAAAGGTGGCTGGGCATAGTGCTGACCACACTTATCCTTTCATATGTCAAAGTCACAATAACAGGTGATCTTTCCCATGGTTTAAAAGTTATTTTTAGGTTTATGGATATTTTTACTTTTAACATTAATATTGCTGATAATTTAAGATAATTTAAATAAGATGTAGGTATCCAAATATTGAGGCAGATAGTTTTCTGAACATTTTATGGTTCTTTTAGCTCAAGATAGTGTAGTTATGATGGGAGAATCTATAAATATAATTCTCTTCTTGGATACCCTAGAAAACACCAAGCTGTAAGCGCGCCTAGCAGGCCCCTCTCTTCCTCTCTAGGCATATCCCTACCACCCCCACCCCCATATGGTCTGGCGAGCTGTGGTTCACGCTAAATGTTTACAATCGTAGAGCCGGGTTTAGTGACGGCTATTAGGGGCAGAAAATTTAGTTTGAAATGATTTTAAACAGAGGAGGTAACTAAGAGGAGGCTGCTTTCACAGGGGGGGGGTTAGGGGTTGGGGGAAAGGATGGAGGGGGCTATCGTCCTTAACGAGCTACTGATAGAAAATAAAACAACTAGATGACGCTGTATGCTACGTCGGGGGTCAGCTCGTTAACTTTAATACTGGGGTTGTGGAATGTTTTTTACAGATGGTACCAGAAATAGATACACCTTTAACTTTTTCCTGCACAGAATGATTAAACATTTTTTTTACATGTTTAAAATATAAGATAATATTGCTCAAAAGCATTTTCATTTTTAAAACATGAAATTAATTTTTGTTTCACTAGTCTTTAACTAACTTAAAGTACTTTGAAATGTGAACCAATAAAAAATTTCAACACCAAAAAATTAAAAAAATTAAGAACATTTTGCTCAAAAACATTTAAATTTTTGAAATAAGATTTTTTTTTACTAACCTTTAACTAACTTAAAGTATTTTGAAATGTAAACCAATAAAAAAAAAAAAATGTTAAACACCAAAAATTAAAAACTTTTTAAAAAAAAGAACATTTTGCCCGAAAACATTTTAATTTTTCCAAATAAGAAATTTTTGTTTGTTTCACTAACCTTTAACTAACTTCAGTACTTTGAAATGCGAACCAATAAACAAATGTCAAACCACCAAAAAATAAATGACTACCTGGCATCTCTGATCCTGTACATCCACATAAAAATGTGAGCCACACAGGTCACCCAGAATCCAAGATTTTTGCCAGAGTTTCTCCAGCATGATGCTGACTTGGATCAGGCAATCTATGTAAGGTTTCAAGTCATCTCCCAGTGATTTTTTCAGAGTCACTTCAAGCAGACTTCCAACAACTGTGCTGGGTGTGATGCACTCCTATGGCGTAAATACCATAAAGTATTAGTGACCATTTTAATATAAACAATGAAAAGACACATATAATAGTTAAAAAAATGTTCTGTGGTTTTTAAAATTGTAGAGTTTTGATACTAAACATCCTCTTTAAAAAAATATGTGGTGTTATGATCTGTTTGTTCCTCAAATTAAACTGAAGGGAAAAAAAATGATTGTAATTTCAAGATCACGCAACATAAAAGAAACATCTGGAAAAAGTTTTTGATATATATCTTACAATATGATGTGCTTGTTTGCGGTTTTCTAGAAACTTGACTTTTGACCTAATCCCTGTTGACTCTAAATCCCCATTGTTGATTTTGGTAATGACTTCCGGTGAAAATCTTTGCACAAGTTTCTCTCTAAAAATATGTTTATCTGGCTAGAAAGATAGAGAAAAATTTTTCTTATCTTTTAAAGTCAAACTCTGTAGATGCTGTCTACTATATTTCAAAATAATATTGGTAGCTTAACGATAAGCTGTAAAATGGACATTTTGTGAAATCATCCGTTTTAAAGTATATTTCAGATACAACTTTATTTTAATCTTAGCTTTTTTTAAAAAAAGAACAGATAAAATATCAATATAATATTAGTAGCTTAACGATAAGCTGTACAATGGATATTTTGTAAAATCATTATTTTTAAAGTATATTTCAGATATAAACTCATTTTAATTTTAGATTTTTTTTTTAAAATAACACATAAAATATCAATATATCAGAAATTATTATGTAAAATAAATAACATATATTAACATAAACATACATTCAATTTTCAAAACAGGTTACACAAAACACTACCACCAAACTTACAAGATTTATCTAGTAAAATAACAGATAAAATATCAATATATTAGAAATTATTTTGTAAAATAAATAACAACATATATTAACATAGAATATACATTCAATTTTCAAAACAGGTTAACCAAAACACTACCACAAAACTTACAAGATTTATCTTCACCATTGTGTCAGAGAGGGAGACTTCGAAACCTTTACTGGAATCCCCTAACTGGTCGTCTTCTCCGTAAGAGGAGCCTGAGAATTTAAAAAAATGACAAAATTTATTCCTGCTTTTAAATGATAAATTTATATTTCTACACAGATAATAAAAATTTAATTCTTCTTCTTTGTTGTTCTTAATTGTAATGTGGGATGTGATTTCCTTCAAAACAATTAAGTAGTTTATGTCAATCTGTTTTATGTGCGACATAGGCAGCTGACTCAGATTTCAGCCTGCATTTTCGTTTTGGATTTGCTTCCATAGCCTTTGTCCATCCAAGAACAAACTACAAGGCAACAGTTGTTTAATTTTGGAGTTGTCTCTCTTGGATGGGCTGCTGTTCCCATGTATCGACCTCATATGAACTGGGGTTTGAACTTTCTTTACTAACCAGACCACGCCAACCCCTTAACCTAACACTCAAGAAATTATATTCCACTTAATAAACAAGTGCAGATCTTGTGGCATGAAACCAAACTACAGAGGGATGACAGATCATTAAACTATTGTGATTTGGGTGACATTGAAGTTGTAGTAAACTTAACATAAAGTTAAATAAAATAAATGGAAAAAAACATACTGCCAACGCCATCTGGAACACCCTGAAACAAGAAAGTTAAATTTATTTTTATTACTAGATTCCAACAGATATTTAATTATCAGATCAATATTTAACATGTTAAGCATTTTTACACTTAAAAAAGGTGGACTAAAAATGTTGAGCTCAATGATTAACAAAGCCCAACTATGTGTAGACAAATTTTTTCATAAGCTCACCAGTTCATGATGTGCAGATGGTTGGTAGTCTGCTCCCAAAGGTGTGAACTCAATTCTCTCCGAAGCAATTTTCACTGTGTAAAGTAATTCATGAAAGGGAGATTCAATATATTATATTATTTACTGAATATAAAAACACATGCCATTTGTGATTGAACAAATTGAATTAAATTATGATCAAAATGTAATTTTATCAGTTATTATAATATTACTTTTGCATTTAAAAAAATACCAATATAAAGAAAGAAATTTTTAAAAAATACCTATACCTATAAAAAGAAATAAATCAACAACAAATACCTATAGAAAGAAATAAATCAACAAAAATTACCTGTAGAAATAAATAAATTTACAAAAAATACCTATTGAAAGAAATAAATTAAGGTAAAAACGGATTGCGCAGAATTAATTGTAAATGATAGAAATATAAAATTGCTTTCTGCATGTGGAGAAACAAACCTGAATTAAGTTTACTGATGACGTCACTAACTGTGGGTCGATCTTGTGGGTTGTAGGAAAGACATTTTGTTATCAGTTCAAAAGTTTCTTTAGTCACAGAGTCTTCTTTAGTGATGCTGTCACCATTTTCAATGATCTAATAGAATGCCAAAAACTTTGAATCAATTCTTTTGATTCAATTAGTTTGTAATTTTTCTAGCCAATATAAAATTAAAAGAATCATTTTACAAAATGTGAGTAGATGTAAGTTAGGATAACGTGATTTAAAATATCCTAATTTCTTTTAAAAGTAACAATTTTTTTAAATACTACATGTTCCTTTTTAATTTGATACCATGTCAATTATCATAAAATAGCAATAATCTTCTACAGAAAGCACAAACACATCAAGTCAAAAACAGCTTAGAAAAGAAGAAGAAAGATCCCTCTCTAGAAGATCTCACAACAGGTGCTAGTGAAGCATTAGCGCAGCATGCTGACATCTTCTGGGAGTGCCATGGACTCAACTTTGAGGCATTACCCAAAAACTGTACAATTGAGAGCTGAGTTGTGTCCCCTGTGCTCTACAGGAATGATGGTGATAAATGCCCCTACTGTTTAATTACTTCTAAGAAAACAACTAACGTGTTTGGCGATGGAATCATTGGACTCAAGGTTAATGTGTGTATAGGGCAGGGTCCCGTGTGTCATGACCTCATTGATCAGGTGTCCAACCATCCAGACATCCGAGGCCTTGCTGTGTACTGAACTCTTCAGGGACTCGGGTGATGTCCATCTTGTTGGTATGGTCGTCTCTGTTTTGTCTGTCAATACATACATAACAGTATTTGATTTAATGTTTTGTCTGTCAATACATACATAACAGTATTTGTTTTAAATGGTATGGTTGCCTATGTTTTGTCTGTTAATACATACATAACAGTATTTGCTTTAATGTTTTGTCTGTCAATACATACATAACAGTATTTGTTTTAAATGGTATGGCTGTCTGTTTTGTCTGTCAATACATACATGACAGCATTTAATTTAAGTGGATTTGATGGCTAAGAGAAAAACCAAAGTAGCGTTCACCTGCATTTAATGTGTGTGGTCAGCACAGTCAATGCACATTCATTTTTTTTCAACTTAAGTCAGATATCTATGTGACCTGAATGGACTCTTGGAAATATGACTGACTATTGCTATGGGAAAATATATTGTTTTATAAGGAAATCTAAATGTTTAAAATGAAATAAATCTCATAAAAAATATAAAACCAAGGAGGGGATACTAAAATTGGAACAGTTTGAAATGTAAACAACACATAATAAAACACAGAGATCTACAGTGGTGTCGCTAGATGGGGTGATGCCCGGTGGTTTAACCAAGGGTGTCACCCCCGTTTCTGCAAACCATGAACTAAAACTATAGGCAATATAGTATCACCCCCCACTCTCAGGCAGTGTCAAACTGTACCTATTAATGTATATAAAATTAATATGTAAACTAACTTGAAAAAAAGCAGACTTTCTCATTTCATTTTTTCATTTTGCTATCACCCTCATAAATGTTGTCATCCGTGTGCAGTCCTCACCCCACCCCCCTTGTGACTCTACCGCCTTAAATGGATCTAATCAATTCAACATTAAACACAACTTAAATCATGTATTAAAACAACATTTTACCATCAGCTTTCCCAATGCCATCAATGAGTTTAATGCACAGCTGAAAGCCACAGAGTTTAACCCTCCTCTCCCCGTGGAGGAACAAGCTGGCCGCAGTGAGGTTTCTGTGGATAAAACCCTGGTCGTGGCAGTACTGGAGGGCGCTCAGGGCATCCAGGAGAAATTTTTGGAGGAGGTTTGGTTTGAATGGATTTCTGTTCAGCTTTTTGTTCTTCAAAGCTATCTGAAAAAAATAGTTTTAAAATTATATTATGACAAGGCATATCCCATTACACAAAGGGCGGCTTGGCCTGGTGGTAGAGAGATAGACTGCTAACCTGAAAGTCTCAAGTTAGAATCTAAGTTCAAATCAGTAGAACGTCCACCTAGCTCTAATGGGTGCCTAACTCATGTTAGGGGAACAAAGGCAGCTGAACATAGCGTTGACCAAATTATCCCATGTATGCCAAGTTCATTGAAACAGTTGAACTCTACTTCATCTGCCCCGGAGTATTGGGCAAAAATGGGAAAAGATGATGATAATGATATACCAGTTTTACACAGAAAATTTTTTTAGAAATTCTAAGCCAGGCACACAAAGTTAGCCTCTCAGTTTAAATGGATTGAGTTTATTATTTAAAAAAGTAATACATGACACAGAATATCACCAGCTTTTAAAATAAATCTAATCTTTGATAAGACATTTCCTAAAACTGTTTGCCTTATGTTTAAAAAGATTTACAATATGTTGTTTTAGTTTGCTTGAATAGTTTATTCTGAGATAGATAATTTACATAAACTTGATCATTTGTAATCACATGACGTGGCAGGAAGGTAGAGAGTTTGGCTGCTAGCCTAAAGGTCTTAAGTTTGAATCTCAGTTCAGACTTGTGACTGTAGGACATCCCTGAGTCCACCCAGCTCTGATGGGTGCCTGGCTTACGTTGGGGAAAGTAAAGGCATCTGGGCCTAGTGCTGATCACATCATCCATTCATATGCAAGGTCAAGAAATATAAACTCTACTTCATCTGCCCAATGTAAAACTAAATCTAAAGAGAAACTTTACAATTATTTGCAATTTTATAATAATTTTTTATTCATATAGAGCAAAGCTTTGAAAATAAAATTCCTAAGCGTCACCATTTTTTTTAAAAATTTAAAATTATAAACTATTGCAGCATCACCTGTAAATTAGTTTCGAGATAATCCTCCACAATGTAAAACGTGGGGATGCAAGTTTCGCGGTAGGCGATGATCTGGATGATGTTGTCATGTTTCAGCAGCTGAAGCTTGAGCATCTGGTTGTAGTAGACATCCTCCTGCTCACTCAAGTTGCTCCTGTTCTTCTCTTTGTGCTCCTTCTCTCTGGGCTTGTGGATGCAGGCAACCACTTTCTGCTGGTTGAAGCTGCCACTGATTCGGTACCAGTCTATGATACCTTCAGTGATTGGCTGTCAATGTAAGGAATTTTTTTTTTTTTTAATATACATAATTACCAAAAAAAAACAAATTAAAAAATTACAAGCTAATTTAAAGGGGAATAAAAATGGACAGTTTTTGTTATATTTACCAACCTCCATTTTTGCATTTTTATCAATTAAAAGCAGGGGAGATAACAATCTTTTAAGTTCATCAAGAAGTAACTCCAGCTGGTTTCTCTCATAAATGCTCCAGTTAAGGTTAGTCCTGACATTAGGATTGCCTTGAAAGAGAAGCATTTTTTCCAAACCAAGAGGCTGTAAAAGGAAACAAAATAATTCATTACTTTTTTTTTCAAAAACAAGGATAGAATAAGAGAATACTTCTGCTAGCAAAAAAATAGAATTGTATAAAGCTAAAAATTACAATATACCAAAACTAATTTAAGAACAGCTAGACTCTGATAGCCTAACAACTTTATAAAAAAAAATAAAAATAAAAAATAAAAGAAAAACCAAAATTTATATAGTACCGGAACTTTTTCTTATACAATTATATTTATAAGTAAGGTATTTTACCTCTCCAGTAGCCAATTATATTTATACAAGATTTGAGAGGAAGGTAATTTACCTTTCCAGCAGCTGAGGAGATGGTGTAGATGATTCTTGTTGCCTCCTTACACAGCTGAACTCCATCCTTGAGGTTGTCCACTTTCTCTGTTCATCAGACAACAGAATAAATGTACACACCAGTCCCAAAAAAAAACACAAGGATGGTGGATGGTTTTAATGTTAACCTCCATCACATTCCAATTTTTTTTTGGGGTTTTTTTTCTTCAAAATTTTAAGCAAAGTTGAAAATACGCTGGAGGGGTGTAATCTTTTTTTAGATTTAAGTTATTCATAATAATGTATTAATTTTCGCACACATTTGTAATGAAGTTTGTTTTTGTATAAACATAAATCTAAACTATCTAAAATATCAGTTAAAAGTAAAACAGTGTCATAATTAATGTGGAAATTTCAGAATACACTGCCTAGTAGCTCCTGAACTGTACTTAAGTTGTTTGAATTAATAAAATCGATGTAAGCAAGCAATATTTTAATTTAAAAATCAAATCAATGTAAAAAAAAAAAGCTATTTGGTATTACAAAAATATGTTTGTGTATGAGATTTAAATTTTATACATGTATAAAATATTTACTCATACAACAGTTGTGTGATTCAAACAACTTAGTTAAGTTTAAAAGTTGACAGATTTAGCAAGTAAAGGATGTAAATCCTATGACATACTTTGCTCCATGGTAAGAAACAGACTGATCCCACTCAAAAGAAAGCTGAAGACGGAGGAATTCTCTTTCCTCAGTTCTGTTTCTTTAACAGTCTCGGCAAACTCATTCAAGAATGCCAAGCTATCCAGATCACAATCCAGGTACACCTAAAATATTTTAAAGATTACACATAATACTCTACTATTTTAAAGTTCTACACATTTGTAATTAGCCATGAATTTGAAAATTAAAATTCCACTTCTTATCGTATTAACTGCAATGTTTTATTTCTAGTTATCCATCATAAAAAAATGTAGCTATTTGCTAGTCCATTTTCTATCAAGAAAATATTTGCTACACAATGTTGCGCACAACTAAATTTACTTGTTCTTTGCAGTTTATTTCTTCAGCACACATCAAGAAATTATTTTGTTAGTGCCAGATCATACTTTCAAAAAGGAAGTTTTGAAACAAACTGATCTTCTAAATTAAAACATGCAATTAATTTTCTACTTTAAGTATAGAACACTTGAAAAAACATTTTGTAATTAATTAAGAGTTGATGTCTAATCTCAACACACCAAATATTTAAACATATTTTTGTTTTTAAAATGAATATTTTGCAACATGGGGCATGATCAAATATGGTTTGTCTTTAATTCTGGCACCACCTGTACTGGAAGCAGAGGCGTAGCGAGGGGGAGGGGGGTGCAAATCGAAAGTTTGAGGGGGGGTGCCAATCGAAAATTTGAAAGTGTCCCGGGAAGGGTCACTACGCCTCTGGGGGGTGATACCATTAAGTGCCGCACCGGGTGACACCCGACCTCGCTACGCCACTGACTGGAAGCAAGGGCTTCACCTATTTTTGCTTACCTTTTTCAGCCTCTCATGTACTACCAAAAGCTGAACAGTTAGACATTTTTTTCTCAACTCCTTGGCTTGCTCGGTATTGCTTTTTGTGCCACGCTGGTATGAGGATACTTCGTGCCTATACAGGTTGTTTGTGTTCTTCTTTTTCAGCCCTGCCATAAACTCATCAAAATCCGAGAAGTGTTTATCAACAATGCTCTCAGAGGTCATACTACGAGACCTGAAACAGTAGGATGTACCAATGTCAACTGAGGTGTTCATAGACTTTTTATCACTATAATTTTTAAATAATTTTTAATGATTAGATATTAGATTTTTTTAAAAATCTTAGTAATACAATATTTTTTAGTCATTGTGCTAATATATACATATTTTTATTTAAATTGTAACCATAGAATTAATCGTTGAAATAACTATAATAATAATTAATTAGATAATACATTGAATAGTTCTAGCAATACAGAATACATAAATACTGTTCATTGTGTGATATTAAACAAATTAAATTTAAATTCAAAATTATTTTCTGATTAGAGAAAAAAATAACATTGATGTTTTATCGTTTATGAATTATTTTTTTTACTGAAAAGCTACACGCTAAAAAAGGTATAAATCCTCTATTTAAAATATTTTTGCCTGTAGAGATTTTAAAACATTTTAAAAAAAAAAACACTTACGTTACAGTTTGATAGATGTGAAATTCACAGAGTCTCAGATCCTTAGGATCCTTACAACTGTAGATCCACTCACACACGATGATGATGTAGAGAGTTGAAAGCTTCTGGACCTTGGCTACAACACTCTCCATCTCAGGGCTAGCCTTTGTGGCACGTAGCTCTTGCAGTCTCACAAACACAATGCTTTCCATGTTGATCTAGGGAAAATAAATCGAGCCATTTAACCTGATGGATATCAGGGAATGAAGTAGAGAGGTAGAGTTCATCTTCTTCTTCTTCTTCGTTCTTAATTTTAGTGTTGAAGGGGATCGAGATTTATCTGCCAGTAGGTTTGAACTTGAGACTTTGTTCGAATTTTATCAACCATGAGCTTTTTTGCCGACTCGACCACGCCTCCAACATAATTAAGCGTTACGTGTCAACTGGTTATGCGCCATTGAGGCATTGACTCCGATTTCAGCCTGCTTTTCTTTTTGGATTTGCTTCCATAGCCTTTGTCCAACCAAGAACAAACTACAAGGCAGCAGTTGTTTAATTTTGGAGTTGTCTCTCCTAGAAGAGTGGCTGTCCCCAGCTAACGAGCCTCATCTGCCCTAGGGTTCGAATTCAAGACTTTTCGGTTTAGCAACCATGAGCTTTACCGACTCGACCACGCCGATCCCTAGAGTTCATCTATAGGATGGCATGGCCAAGCAGTAGAGTGCTTGATTGCTAACCCAGAAGTCTCTTGTTCAGATCTTGCATGTGTACTTGTCTCATGTTACGCAATGTAAAGGCAGCTGGGTAAAGTGCTGACTACACAATCTGTACATATGCTATGGTCAAGAAACAGTTGAACTCTACTTCATCTGCCCTAAGGAACATTAGTCCTGAAAGTGGAACTTAAATCAGTGTTCGCCTATTGTAGTGACCTCTGTGAAGGTGTTTTAATGCTATACACTTTACTCTCCCTGATGTTCATTAAAGCTGGGCATACCAAAGTATGTCCTCTGGAATTTATTCCGGATTTGAAATTGTTCAAGACTTTTAAGTTAGCATCTTTTACTCTAAATGAAATGTGTCATTATAATGTTTAATGATGTATGATAAAACATAAAGGGTTACATTTATAACTCAAGTTTGGTGCACAAGTCTTCACTTACATTTGTAAACAGCAGAAAAAAACTTTTTGTTTAAAAATGTATCCTTAAAATAGGCTTAGTAAGAACACCTACTATAATACCACAAAAATATATGTGCATGTGTAAAATGCTATGTTTCAGTCTTTCTTCTTCTTCGTTCTTAATTTTAGTGTTGGAAGGGATCCCCTCCAACACAATTACGTATTACGTGTCAACTGGTTATGTGCCATTGAGACTATAGACTCCGATTTCAGACTGCTTTTCTTTTTGGATTTGCTTCCATAGCTTTTGTCCAACCAAGAACAAACTACAAGGCAGCTGTTTGAAGAGTGGCTGTTCCCAGCTATCGAGCCTCATCTGCCTGAGGATTCGAACTCAATTTTGGTTTAGCAACAATGAGCTTTACCGACTCAACCACGCCGACCCCATATGTTTCAGGAATAAGTTTGCTTAGAACTAAATAGAATGTTCACTAAAGTCCAGCAGACTCACAATTTTACATTCTTTCATCAATATAGTTAAATGATAAACAGGGTAAACAAAATAGATATTGTAGGTCGAACAAATCTATCACCCATTATTTGAAAACAAGGACTCTACATGGTAAAAATAACTTAACAAACATTTTTCAACTTAATAATTTATATTTGGTAGGCATTATTCCTATATTGTAAAAACATTATATTAGGACCGTGTAATGTTAAGGCTTAATTTTTCCAACTCACAAACAGATTGCAGAGGTTATTTTTGTTTGAGTTCTTGGAACTGAGCAGCAGAAACTCAAGAAATAAGATGGCCCTGTCCACCACAACCTCTGACTCATAGATGGCCAAGTTTGTCAGGGAGATGAGATTTTGTTCCTCGTATAATTTCGGCATTAGCTGAAAACAAAATTTAGCAGAACTTAATACATAACCAAGTTTGCCAAGTAAATAAATATATAAGATGGGTAACTGAAAACCAAGAAAAAGTAATCATGAAAATGGATTTTTAAAATTTATTTGTGGGCTTTATTTTGGAGAGCCAGAGCATTTTGGTACAATGTGTTGTCTTCTTACATAGTATCAAAAACCAGTACAAGTTAACCCTAAGTATTCAGCAACTGTTGGAGGTTATTTATATAGAAGGCTATTGAATTATTTTAAAAGTTGAAGTAAAAATTTTGCTCACAAGAGTTAATTTTTAAAAATCAAAATTTTATTAATGTTTTCAGCCAAAAAGAAATATAGGGTAAAATAAAAATTCAAAAGGAAAGAAAAAAAGATACTGAAATTTGAAGAGACTGAGGGCCAACACTAAATATGAGGCTAAATTTGTTAATGATATTTAGAACTAAGTATTGATCATCCCCCTACCACTGTCCATGCTAATTTAATTTTACAAAAAAAAATTAGTATTCTATTCGTTAGTCAGACCTTCTATTACTAGATTAGTAGTATATGCAGGACAAATATAAGAGAGAGAACTTAATGATTTCACATGGAAAATAGTTATTTACCTTGATTAGAATTAGAGTCTGATTTTCATCTATTTCTTTAGATAAATCTAAGTATTTCAAAGTTTTTGTTCTTAGACTTTGCAGTTTTTCTTTTATTTTATTTGCTGAAACACACAAAGACAACTTATTTACTTATATATTATGATACAGGGTTATCCAAAGTATAAACAAGCTACAAATTTAACCTCTTATCTTCAATATAATATAAACAGAAAAACAAAAATTTGTATTGCTAAAGTTACATTTTATAAAAATTCAAATCTAAGATAAAACATAAAATATAGTGAATTTTTTTTTCTAATTAGTTTTTAGACAATAGTTATAATACTTCTATAAGTTTTAAAAAATACTTTTTAAACATTTGAAGCACAAATAATATGACAGTAAGATTTATATAATTAGATTTTTATCCCACGCATTTACTTTAACAACAAATTTTTATTCATCAAAGATGAATTTCATTACAGAGAATAATGGAAAAAAAACTCACGATTGTTGACATCTGCCAGATGGCTTTGTCGAACAAGTGGCTGTAGGTTATTGCTCTCACCCAGCCAGTTTGGGTACTGCACAAAGGTTTGATTTTCCTCTTCAAACTTTACCTGAGTCTCCTGGTTAGAAACATAACATGCACAAGTTAAATAATATAAAACCAAGTCAGTTTAGTACTGTAAAAGTAAAGCTCCCCTTCCCAATCTGATGGTCTAGGTAGACTCAGGGACAGTCTACTGACTTGAATCCAGATTCAAACTCAAGACATACAGGTTAGCAGTCTAGCTCTCTACCGCTAGGCCACTCTGCCTTGGTACTATACATTTTTATTTTTAAAGCCTATGCCTCAGTGGGATCCTAAAACTAAAAAATTATTCAGTATCCCTAAAGGCACATCATTTACGCTGGATTAAAAAAGACAACCTGAAAAGCTAGTGTTGTTGGCTAAAAATTTAATCAAAGACAAGGTTAATTTCAAAAACTCAGTAGTACACTTCATTTGTTTCTTAAATAAAGATTGTGTACTCACAGAAGATAAACTGGTATTGTCACCATACGACTGGACCTGGGGAACAGCTGTTTCTTGCATAGTTTCTTCTGTAACAACTTCCTGTTGTGCAACCACACCCACATTACCACTTATTTGCTGCACTGCCACGACAACATTCTGGATGAAATTTGGAATACCCTTGTCATTGATCTTAAATGGGTGAAACTTTGTGAAGAATCCATCATACCGGTCAACCATCTTATCACGCTCTGTGTAGGTAACTGTTATTAGTTTTTCATCTTGTCTTTCCATGTTCTCTCTGCAGGCCTTAATCTAGTTTTTAAAAAAAAAATGTTTTGCTTAAAAGTTAACTATTTTTGTCAGCAGTTAAAAACCAGATATTCTGGAGAAGAAAATAGACTGACAAGGTAGTATGGATAGAGCACACATTAAGTAAACTGACACAGGACCTAAAATGTAACTAAATGGCAGGGGAAAATGAGACATCATTGCAAAAGCACCTGATTATAAGAACTAGTGGCAGCTAGCATGAAGTAGAGAGGTCCACACATCTTCACTTACATTTGTGAACAGCAGAAAAAAAACTGCCAAGGGCAGAGAACTCTGGACAGCCGTAGTTGACCAGAGACAAAAAATATACAAATGTAGGTCTTTATCAATGTAGGTGTTAATAAACTTGATAGGTTTACAACACTCTCTACAGATTGAATACAGATATCCTTTTTTTTAAACAAATTCTGATGTATACTGGTCTTGTTAAAGTTTTGTAAAGCTCATGCATTATTAAAAAGAACTATCAGATACTTTAGACTTGTGATGTATCTATTACTCAATGTATGACTTACTTTTTCCCAAAGGTCTTGACATTTATGTATTACAGTAAATTTACAGTTGTCCAATGCTGTGTTAAAATGCCTGTAATAAAATCCATCTGCAAATTAAAAAAAAAACATTTTTAAGTAAATTAGAAATAATTAGTTAAACATAATCACAATACAAAAAACAATAGGTCAGTATCAAAATAGGTATAAAGTAATTGCTTATTAGTAATGAATACAATTTTTTTTTAAATAGCTAGTAGCATCACTTACTAAGAGGGTATTCCCACACACAGTTAAGACCACTTTTCTTCAGTGCCTTGACAATATCTGCATGATATTTCCCACATTTATCTCTGTCACAAGGGGGGAAGTGAATGTCACCAGATAAAGTGGCCATGATGTCATGTGTCTGACAAGAAAGTGAAGTAAGGAAATGATATTTTTTCCTGAAAGCAATCAGCTTTTTATGCTAGGTGACTACAGATGCACTAAAAGTAAAGTAAAGAATCCTCTTTAGACCTAGTAATCTATTGGGCAGATGAAGTAGAGTTCATATGTTTCTTGATCTTGGCATATAGTTATAATAAGAGATAATAGGAGTTGCTACCTGCAGACCTGCTAAGACTAAACGCAGCTCTTTTAATCACCCAACAAATAATTTTAAAAATAATCTTTTTTTTTTTTACATTTTAGCTTTATATTTTGTATTCTTATGTGTCATCTGGAGATGATGATAGAGAAACTTTAGCCCTTAGGAATAGGCTCTGGATAAGGTTATACATATGGCATGGGGTAGTTTTGTTGTCAAGGTATTGTTATTATACTTGAAATACATCATGTGGGTTTGGTTAATGAGCATACTGTTACAAGGTATAAGCTATAGTGGAAGGTCATATCCCTGTATATTGTCAACAGAATGCATGAATCATTGCATTACATCATTCATTTCTTGATAGATTTTAGTTCAACTTAGAGAACTATAACATTGTCCTAACCCTGATTATTTTTTATACACTACCTCATCACTCAAACAAGGCTTCCCAACTATTCTAGCAACAGGTGCTGATTGAATTTAGTTTATAATTATAATTTCTGATGTTTTTCTAATAACATTTATCACTCATGTAACAAGTCAACATCAATCCTAAAATTACATATAAAAAGTTTTACATCAAAAAAAATAAAACCTAAGTAATAACTAGGCTTTTTGAACTTTTGTTTTGTGTTAATTATGTTTTTGTTGTTGTCTCCCTTTAGTTAAAAAATGTCCATATACATATATATATATATATATATATATACATAGCCTATATATATATATACATAGCCTATATATATATATATATACATAGCCTATATATATATATATATATATATATATATATATATATATATATATATATATATATATATATATATATATATATATATATATATATATATATATATATTAGCGGATATATATATATTATATAGGTCATATATATATATATATATATATTAGCGGATATATATATATATATATATATATATATATATATATATATATATATATATATATATATTAGCGGATATATATATATATTATATAGGCCATATTTATAACACCTGGTGTGGTATTTATTTACCTAATGCCTAATAATAGTAGGGTTGTCGGTATCGGCCGAGATCGCGGTAAAAACATGACCCGAAATCGCCCATTACTTTCTGATACCAGGCGCACGAGATTTGGTTTTGCATACTAATAAGTTTTTAATTTATGGTAATTAATTAAGTTTAAAAGGTCATTTCCTAATGTTAAATGAAAAGTAGAATGGTTTTCCCATTGTTTTGATGGCTTAGCGATCTGATTGCACGCTGTCTCTGCCTTGGTCTTCCCCCTGTATGAAGGCTAGTTTCAAATACGTTGGAATCACAATTTTTTAAAAGGTTATTCTAGATGAGTGAAGATTACTGAGCAGACATATCTTATATATGTGGAAATGATATTTGTTTTTGGATATTTTGACTCTGACATTAGATATACTCGTTTAGAGGTGGTCACTGTATGTAGGTCGCGTTGCCACCATTGTTATATTTTTTCATCCCGATCTTCCGGCCTTTAAGTTTGATCAACTAACAACAGCATTCTTATGGAATGTGCAAACAAATCTCCTAATTTTTTATTTCAGAATATATTTACATACCCATCTTTAATTTTTTCAGCTCTAGTTCTAGTTTTGCAGAATGTTTTTCCTAAAATCCAATTTTGTCAGACTAGAGTCCTAGACTGACAAGAGTCAGACCTAGATCTAGGTTACCTGTCTGTTGCTATACACTAGCATTGTGCTAACTGTAATTTTAAGTATTCAAGTTCTACTTACCCTTAGATATAGTTATATGCTGAAAATCAGAATCCATACACAATTCACACATAAAAACATTGATCTGATAACTTCATTTAAATTATTACAAAATGGCTTATATGGGCTCTACTTCACCTGCCCAAAATAACAAGGCAGTTATATACACATTACAGTGTTCAAGTCATTTAGATTTCTAACTATGTAGTTCTTACATTCACTGTATTTATATAAAATATTGCTTTAGAAACATTTTCATATTTGCGCAGCAGTTTTATAACAAAATGGCTTAAAGATGGACTCTACTTCACCTGCCCAAAATAATGAGGCAATTATAATATTATATGCACATAACAGTGTTCAAGTCATTTACTTTAGATTTCAAACTTTGTAGTTCTTTCATTTGCTGTATTTATATAAAATATGGCTTTAGAAACATTTTCATATTTGCGCAGCACACAGCTTTTTGGGGTTATGGGAGGAAGCCAACACAAAAATATAAGTTCTGTATTATTTTTATTCATTTCAACAACATTTACAAGTTCTATATATCATTCTAGCTAAACTCTGAAAATATGAACAAAATACAACTGCAATTAAAATAATTATGCTCAATTTATTCAGGTATACCATGACTTGTCACAATAGGTAGGAAAAGTGGTTCCAAAAGTGGTTCCACTTTGTGTTGCCAGAAAGCATATTTTTGAACCAAAATTGAATATTTTATAACATTTGTGAAATAAGTACAAAGTCTCTTCCGGTTTTACTAAGGCTAAAAATATTTAAACACAAAATTACTAATAATATAATATTAATTTACAAAACATTTTTTTTAAAATTTGGATTAGTATAGTCAGGGTGTTGTGGTGCAAGGGGATGTTATATTATTTAATATAAATAAACTATTAGGCTATATTAAATTGTTATAATAAGTGAAGCGTAATTAATATCAACATTTTAATATACACCTAATCAACCTAGATCGACCTCTGACTATGGGGTCATCTTTTAACGATGTCACAACGATGCCAGACCTCCCCCTTCCCCAAAAAAGTAAACCTAAGCCAACCCCCCCCCCCCCCCCCCCCATTGCAGCGATTTTCGTAACAATTTATAAAACGACTTTTAATGATGCAAATAAAGGTTTAAATTCAGTTTCTTAAAATGAGTGTTTGTTGAACATTGAAGTGTCATCTTACTTTCTGAACCCCCTCCCCTTCACACAAAGGTCCAAATCTCCCCCACCACCTCAAAGTCTGATGGACGACCACTACAGCATTTTGCTATTATTTATAGGATATTCATTAATTAGTCATACAAACCTAATTACATTTGTTGTTGTGATGATATCTCTGTCATTACAATTATTAAATAATTTATTTTAACTCAATATTTCCCCTAACCTCATTTGCTATAGCTGCTTATCCTTAGAGAAAACATCTTTTCCTCAAATATCTGGAATGCATCTGATCAGCAACAGTCTTTTTCTTTTGTAATATGTAAACAATTACAACATGTTCATAAACTTGCATGGCCAATAACAACACATTACCAGGAAACAGGCAGTGATTATAGTTTGCTGTATTTGTGGTTGATGGTGAGTTATCAGCAATGCTTCACTAAGCCTGGTCTACATTTATATGCTGGTATGGCTAGAATTGACAAAAACCCATATTCTTGATTCTTCCCTTATCATTATTTTTTACAGCTATGATAGATATATGCAAATGTAAGACTTATAGTGGGACTACATATTTGTGAACACATTTGCTAAAGCAAAAGTTCTTGAGTTGAAATTTCAATCCTTTAGGTTGTCTCTGATTCAAATTGAAAGCAGCTTTAACTGGTACCTGACTGGTTATGGACAGTAAAAGCTGTTTGACATTTTGCTGACCATACAATTTATTAATATGGAGAAATCTACTTCAGCACCATATTTTTAAAAACTATTTATAGTTCACCAGTTTAAGTTTATTGAAAAAGGTAGGAATAATTAGTTTCCGCATACACCAGCACACACAAGCAGTGCTGAAAAGAAATAAACATAACAAAGTTTATAATTTTCTTTTTTTAATTACCATATTCATTTAAAACTAAAATAAAAAAAATAGTTGTTCAATATGAACAAGTTTTCTTGGGTCCAACATGTATCCTTGGATCAGTTTTTAAATTGAACTTCATCTTGACTTTTGTCTTCTCTGTATGCAGTTGTATGATCCACAGTATCTAAAAAAACATAAATAAATTTCATAAACTGTTATATTAAACTCATTATGTTTACATACTTTCAACTCTTAATGTTATAAATAAAAATATTTGTCTGTCTTATAAAGATCTTAAAGCAATGATGTGTATTTATGTATTGGATTGTATGGGCTATCTAACCATTACCATTCATTAAAAATATAGGTCTAATAGTTTACTTTTAACATTTTAATGTAAGGAGTTTGTCATTAAATACAATAGCCCTCAAAAGAATCCAAAAGTCATGTATATATCATTAAAAAAAAAGAAAAAGGAATTAGTTAAAAATTGATATTCAAACTAGGCTACTATAACTATCATTAATTCATGCACATACTAAAATAAATATTAGGATAATTATATTAATTTGATTAGTAAGTTAATCCATCTATGACAATTGACACCTTTTGGCTTTATCAACTATTCTGCATTTTAAGTTCTAAAGAAGACTACATAAGACTAAGAGTAGACTAAGTCATATATTAAGTTAATTAAGTAGAACTAAAATAAGACAGCTCTACCATAGCCTAAATTATCTTAAATAAAATGTATTTTGTACAGATCTAGTAATTTAGTAAGTATTAAATATTAAAATTAAATTAAAATAGAAAATATTGGCCTACTAAATAATTGATTCACTAACTAATGTCATGATTTTGCAATTATGAGGTTGTGTGTATTATAATATATCCAGTAACTGTATAGAGTAACTATACTTACTAATACTACTACAATAGTAAATATATTTTAACAAGTAGGCTCTAACTAATTAGACTAATCATTTATTAGACTAGGTGTATGTACTATGTAGTGCCCTACTAACTAATTACTAACCAAGGACTAAGATTAACTATTTACTATAATCTAGTCTCTAAAACTAGTCTATACCAGCTACACATTTATAATATAAACTATGGGCCTAATTTTTTTAACTTATCTATTATTACTATTAACTTAAAATACTTCATCAATATACTATTTTTTTTTAAATTATTTAATATAGATTTTTATAAAATATATAACTTCTACATCTAGAATCTAGATCTAGACTAGACTAGAGTAGATCTCTACAACTTGACTTGTACTTAATACTAATTCTAATAGATCTACTGTCATGCAATATAGTTATATAAAGTTACTTAATAAACTATAAGTCGTATAAGATCTATAGATCTAGATCTCTAGTTAGTATTAGATGGCTGATATATAGATCTAGATCTAGTACTACTACTAGATCTAGATCTAGTCTGATCTAGTAGTATTTAAATATTTATAATTTATAGAGTCTAGATTCTAGATCTAGATCTAGAATCTAGATCTATTTTAGTATTTATACTAGATCTAGTCTAGTAACTAGATCTAGACTAGCTAGATTCTAGATCTAGATTCTCACCGATATAAATCTATCTACTATCTAGATCTATTCTAGTATCTACTATCTAATCTAGTCTAGATAATCTAGATCTAGATTCTCGATATAAATTATAAATCTATCTAGATCTAGTCTAGATAATCTAGATTTAGGATCTAGATTTTATTAGATCTAGACTCTAGATCTAGATCTAGAAACTTATAGACACTTAATAATAGATCTATCTAGATTTTAGATCTAGATCTCAGCTTAGGCCTTAGACTAGGTCACTTAGAGAGCACTCAGTGTGAGTAGTCACAGGCCTAACAAAAATAATGAAACGTGTGTTAAAAACATTCTACAAAAACATTGGTAACAATTAATAAGAATAATGTTAGATATTAGTAATCTGAGCATAACAGTCAAAAAAAAATAAGCCAACTATAATGAAAAGGGATACAAACGAATTTTAAAAGCCTGAATCGAACTGAAAATATTCCCTTGTTCGCCATTTTGTTTTCTTGGATAACCTTGTCCGTATTTATAGTGGAAAATAAATGTTATGACTTCCATCGTTTTATTCTCCCTGGCCAGTTCAGTTCAGTTCAAGGTGGGGTTGAGGGCGGTTTTATTAAATATTTAAATTTATACAATAATTCAAAATCATTTTCAACGGCTTATGTTCAACACAAAAATATGAAAATGAGTGTAATCGATGGTTCCAAATCTACTTTAATTTTTAAAATTGTAGCTATAATTTTATCGCTTGCCATGTTTTTTAAAATAATTTTTAAAAAATTTAGTATGATTACATAGACTTTTCCTACCTATTGGCCAATGCAAAAGTAAGGGGATTCCACCCCTCACAAAAAAATTCGCAAAAAAAAAAACTATTTGAGCTAGACCAAAAATCTTTTTTGTTTTGTTTTCATTTTGTTGAGCTCTACAAGAATATGTAATTTTTATTTTTATATGATGATTAGTGCTTTTTTACCAAAATCCCTAATAATAGTAATAGCCTATAGAATATAGATACTTAGTTAGTCTAAAGTTACTAGATCTACATACTACATTCTAATCTAGATCTAGAACTATTTTGAATTTGTTTTTGAATTGGCTTATCAAAATAAATTTGAATCAAATTCATTAAAAAAACAATTTTTGACGAAAAACACTTCTTCTAAATAAAAATACTAAATACTGCACTGAAGTGTAGTGTATCAGATGGTATCTGTATGCCTACTGTAAAGTGAAACTGAAACAAGAGTCACGGTGTTTTCAGTGTATTAAGTAATAATATTAAATATTAACAAAAGTTCAAGTAAGTAAGTTACTTACTTGAACTTTTGTAGTAACGCAAGATTACCTTTTGTTTGAAGTTTGAGTTTTTCAACTAATAGACTTCAGTTTAGCACAGCTGGATCCTACTCGAATCTCTATTCATTTTTAAAAAATTACGGTCTGCTTGCGGTTCTAAGTAGAATCTAGATCTAGAGATCGATTGAATCTAGATCTAGTGGGTCGATTGCATCGATTATTTAATCCATCAGAATAACTATTTAGTGTTTGTTTACAATCTGAGTCTAGTCTCTTTTGTCGAAAGTTTAATAGTGGCCGTGCCGGTATCTAAATCTCGTAACTTTACGAAATTAACACAAAACCGTTTAAAATTCTGTATGTTTATAATTAAAGCTGACGTGCGATGATGTGTTTGCTACTTGGGAGCAGTAGCGTAGCGAGGGGGGGGGGGGGGCGGGGGGGGGGGGGACATATGTCCCCGGGCGCCGACCTTAGGGGGCGCCAAAATGGGTTGGAAAAATAAATTGAAAGGTTGAGGGGGGGGGGGGTGCAAATCAAAATCTCGAGGGGGGGGGGGGTGCAAATCGAAAGTTTAAGGGGGGGGGTGTAAATCGAAAACTCGAGTGGGGGGTGCAAATCGAAAGTTTGAGGGAGGGGGGGTACAAATCGAAAAGTTTGTCCCCGGGCGCCGGGAAGGGTCGCTACGCCTCTGCTTAGGAGAGGGATGAGGGTTTAAAGGAAAAAAAGATACATGATCATACATAGACTCTAGATTTATATTTTTTTTCGTTGGGGTTTTTTGCTGGGGCAGGGGGGATTCGAACGGGATAAAAATGAAGAAAAAAACATGCTAATATAATGCGCTAGACTTTTATTTTTATTTAAGAGATTATGTTGATTTTTGGGAGATGAATTGATGATAGGGAAGTAGGGGATTAATTAATATAAAATAGGACGACGCCAATTTGGACAACACCTGAAATGGATAGGCTACCGTAGCCTATTCTACTTAATGCCTTTAAGCGAGCCGGAAGCGTTGATTTTTTAAAATTAATTCATTTACATTTTTAAAACTAGGCAAACTACGGCCAAGTTTATAACAGTAGCTTTGGCCCTAATTATCTAGTAGAAACATCGATAAGGTAAATTTGATAGTGGCAAGTTTCCCCCAATTTTTTTTAACTATAACTGCCCGGTAAAATAAAAATAAGAAACTTTTAAAATCAATTTCTTAACTGTTTGTCCATGTGTCTGTCTGTCTATACGTGTCTTTCTGTCCAATTGATAAAACTCATGTCTTTTTTTATGTAGAGCTTCATATCAAATGATAAGTTAACACACTATTATATGGGCCTATATTTGCTCACTGATATGAAACGCCAGCCTCCAAGGTGACTGGTTCGGTAGTGGTGGCGTTTGTTTTCATAACGTTCGTCTAAAAATCGAAGACCCTAAAAACCAATGTGTGGATACATGACTGACATTCTATTGTGTCTTCATAGGTAAACAGAGAGATGCCTATATGAATTATCGATTACCTGCAGATTGAAATTCGATAGCCGTCAAAAATAAAATCTACTGATGTGGGATACTGAGAAACATGCTGGTCAGAGTTTCTTCCAGGCATCTCTGGGGGGCCTCTGCCCCCTTGAAGAAAGTCTACCGCCCCTCCCCCGCCCCTGAACGAAATGGAATTTATATAGAAAACATATGCTCTTAACAGTGTCCGCCCCCACCCCCTTCCGAAAATTTCAAGTAAGCCCCCCCCCCCCCCCCCCGGAAAGAAAAGTCTGGAAGGAACACTGATGCTGGTCGATCTCGCGATCCATCATTCAAGGAAAACATAAATAAATGAAAATGTGAATACCATCGTTAAACAGTGACGAAAAAAGACGAAGTTTAATTCTTAGAATAGAATCATTTGTCAACTTAAAAAAAACCCCACTAAACAGAACCACGTCTGCTTAAAAAGAAGGAATCCCTTCTAACCTTTTCTTAGAATTAGCTCGAGAACACAGCAAGTTAGTTTCGAATTTGTTTGTTTTACCCCGTCCCCCGGCCCGCCTAACGGGCAACCCTGATACAATCAGGCCCCCTGATTTGATGGACGTTTATCTAATCTCTCGTCCCACGCTGACCATCGTGCGTGAGTGGTCATCCCCGCGCGCATGGGTCATCCAACTCAATCATTAAGGACAAGCTCCTTGGCTGATGATATTAACGCCCCCCGTGCAAGGAGGGTGTTATCGAAAGATGGACACTTGAATCTGAGAACCTCCTTCATCGATTTCTCTCAACTTATGACTCTAGACTAGCTACGCAGCTAAAACATGTTTATCTTTTAAAAAAAAACAACTAATTGATATTATTGCAGATGTATTGTCGTGCCTTGATATCCAATGTACAAACAAATCATTATTTTAATGTGCGAAATAAAATGTACTGTTTAAAATATTATAAATAGAAAGGCTTACAAATGAAAATGTATAAATTTGCATTTTATAGATTTTATTCTAATTTTTAAAGATTCATACATTTAAATATATTATTGAAGTTGTGGGTGTTAGGTCTATTCATAGCTGAATGTAAATAAACATTGGCCATACGTTTTAATAATTATATACAATGTGTATGTTATATATAGGGCCTACATTAAGGGGTCATCCACAAATGACGTCACACTCGTAGGGGGGAGGGGGGGGGTTCAGATGTTGCGACGACACACTTTTGGATTATAAAAAAGCAATGTTAGAAAACGAATTTTAGACGTTGTTCGCGTTTTAGATAACTGTTTTAATAAATTGTAATAGTTTAGACAAGATTTTAGAAAAATATCGATGTTTTAAAAAAGTTCAACTGCAATTTTGAGGGGGGGGGGGGGTTGTAGGTTGAGGTATGACGTCATTTTAGGGGGGGGGGGGTCTGGCTTTTTGTGACGACGTGTGATGGAGGGGAGGTAAAAATCGTCAAAAAAGCGTGACCTCATTTATGGATGACCCCTAAGCAAACAAAAAACATGCGAACGCGTGTTTTTAGTTGTATAAGAATTATTATGTTGGGTGCTACAAGGCAGTTTTGCGTAATAGTTCAGGAACTAGGGGGATAAGGGACTCACGTGTTTGTTTTGTTAAACTACACTGGTTCATTTCCAAAGATTATACTTTTTTTTATTGCATTAAGAAACTTCCACAAACAGATCCTTTACTGTTAAACGTTTTTGACAGCCGATACAAATCAATATACGAAGATTTATGATATTATACTTTTTCTTTTTCATTTACAACGAGAAAGAAACGGCTGAAATAAATATATATTAGCTTGTCAAAGAGATTCTCTATGGCGAGTTTTTATTTTAAAAAATCTTACAGCTGAATAACAGTTTTTCCCTACCATTTTCTTTTTACACCTATGACAAAAACTCTACCATATGTTCAGAGAAAAAAAATAAGCCCAAAACGTATCAGTATGTTGTTAATAAATGCGCATCGCTAAATAGCTCTAATGAGCCAACGAGCGAACCCCCGTGAACACAATTTTTCTGCCCACCCAAGCCTAGGATTTTAACCCCGCTCTGACCTCTTAAAAACTCGGATCACACGCTTGACGCCATCCGCATCGACCCCGGGATCTGCACGTTTAGCTTATGATTGACCGGGGGAGGGAGGGGGGCGGGCGGCGGGACGCCATGCCCTGACAACCCCTCATTGTTTGGCGCTAGGAGGCTGGACATCAATAATGGATCATTGCTTTGGTTAAGAAGAATAATTGGAGGGGGCCAGTCATATTTCGCGTTTGACAGGCCGGGTAGATTCAAATATTACTGTAGTGGGTAGGAAACAGTTCAAGTAACAAATAAAGGCGGATTAATGTGAATAGTTTTAAATATTATTGTAGTGGATACAAAACAGTAAAAGTAACAAATAGAGACATTGATGAAGGTGAATAGTTTTAAATATTACGGTAGTAGGTAGGAGACATTTCAAGTAACAAATAAAGACAGATGTATGTGAATTTTTGTCAAATATTACAGCAGTGGGTAGGAGCCAGCTGAAGTAACAAATAAAGACAGATAAATGTGAATAGTTTTAAATATTATTGTAGTGGATACAAAACAGTAAAAGTAACAAATAGAGACATTGATAAATGTGAATTTTAAAATATTCCTTAGGTGGATACACGTTCAAGTAAAAAATAAAGACAGATGGATTTGAATAGTTTAAAATATTACTGTAGTGGATATAAAACAGTAAAAGTAACAAACAGAGACATTGATGAATATGAAGAGTTTTAAATATTACTTAAATAACGCGACAGTGGTCTACCGCAGCTTCTGTTCTATACTGCTAACCTCATGACAGCATTGAGCTATTTCACATGATCACACCCAACTGACTGCAAAGTTTGTAGATATGATTCAGGGAAGTCAAGTCAAATTGTTTTTATTATCGTGTAGATCTGGGAACTGCAAAAATCAAATGTTCACCTCTTGGGAATCTTATAAAATCACACTTTTGACGAGAAACCAGCGCTGAAATTAAAATTCACACATCACACCGCAGGATCTTCATTGAAAATAAAAGTTAAAAACTCCGAGCGCTTTGAAATTTTATTGAAACAAACCCATTGATCAGGCGACGTTTGCTGGGGAGAGGGGGGGGGGGGGGGGGGAGGGATGAAGGGAAAGGGGGGGGGGCGGTTGAAAACGTTAAAACCAATTGATTATCTCAATTTACACCTTGTGAACCTGGAAAGAATTGAAACGATTTTAATCGCGCGGACGGTGAAGGAGCAAGTGCAATGAAAAATAAAATAAAAATTATTTAAAAACAAAACAACCACGGAATATGAGCAAATTGGGATTCATTTTTTGCTCTTTGGGCCACTTCATCGTCTAATAAAAGGACGTGTTAGAAACAAATAAAAAAATCAATTAACCGTTAAACATTCGAACTGTATTGCAGATTCGAGAGAGGTTATATTGCATGGCAAAAGAGAAACTAAAACAGCGGATTGTATGCCTACTTGTAAAGAGATCAATGGCTGTATAGGCCTACATTCTTTGTGCCGTTAAAGACTAGATGCAA